GGTGGTGACATGAATGCTGTAACAGCTGTGACATTTTTTTCATGTTATAAATTCATTAATCAAACACGGGCTCAGGATACTGGGAGCCTGACTGGCAGGAGAAGATCCTCCCTGTTCACCATTCTGCTGACAATTCACTCCAAGATGTCTCCCTGCTCTCAATCACCCTTTCCACTCTTTTGCAAACTCATTTACAAAGTAATTCCTGACCACCAGTGTCTGACTGAGAATGGTACCTAGACTGAAATAATGAATTTAAATCCATGATGTGACATTCCCTGAAAACGAAGCATCGAGAAGGTCTCTGAACTGCTATGCCAGTACCTTCCACACATGTTTAGGTGCTCATCTTTGACTATCTCGCTCTGCACATCTTGTAAGGACTGATAAACAGACTGTTCATAAAACTACTGTTCCAGAGAAGAACTGCAGGATTTAGGCTTCCCTACACAGGAGAAAAAGACACTTCCATGAAGAGAGGTCCAACTTCATGATACTTACATTTAGTCAGCAAATTGCTCTGCTACTTGATGCGAACAGTGGAGAAGCTGGGCAGATGTGCCTATGAACACAAGAAATAGGGCTGCCCCAGGTCATACAGGGAATAACTTCTTACTAGGAGAAGCCAGGAGGAAAACACTTCCTTCTAAATGTTTGACTTCAGGGTTCTGTTCTTGGATTGTATTGAATTGACACGGAGATACAACTCATGCCCAAGAAAAGGAATGCTTCTGATGCTTTTTGACATAGCTCTTCTCTGAGTGAGACTGGCATGCTCTGTCTAAAGGACAACAACCCACGCCGGAGGCAGCAACATTCCGTACTCATGGCAGAAGTTCCCATTCTGTACTGGGAGACAATGAGAACTCATCACACAGCAGAGGCAGCATACAGCATGACATGAAAGAATAAACCAAAAAGTTGTGAGGCAACATGACTTCAAGCCTATTAAAGGAAGCTGCTTTGAAATTCTTTCTACAAACTCAGGGCAATGGAAAAGAGATCCATGCCAATCTGGTTACTGGGGCTTGCAACTGCACCCAATCTTCTTAGAAGTACCAAGGTGAATGCTCAGTAGAACAGCACTGACCTAGAACTTCAGCAGTTTCTGTCATGAGGTAAGACAGAGGACTCTGCATCCAGAGGCAATGCCATTTTTTCCTTCCAGAAAAACAAAGGATAAAGGCAGGACCAGTAAACACCTGAGGATTACTGGTGATGTCCCAGATTTATTTTTCACTGCCTGCTTATTTAATTCTGACACTGAAAATCTAATTTCTACAATGCAAAGTTTTACATTTCTTCATGTACATAAACACAGAATAAAGCTACAGTTAACTTGGGAGACCTCACAGGTGTGTGAAAAAGACACTTTTTTGCACTCACAGCACTTGTCTGGTGCAGAATCTAGTACTTACCATTATGATGGCTCCTGCATTAAGTATTGCCTTAGCAGGGTAGCTTCTTAAAAAATAGGGAGAAAAAGAACAATTGTTGACTCAAGGCCCACACAGGTGTAGAAGGCGGCTAGCTTCAACTTGCACAAAAGTGGCCACATAAATAAACTCCTCAATGACCTCAGCCTGGACTCCAGTGGAAAGAGGCCTAACAAAATGCTGTGCCAAAGCACCCAGAAAACACTACATGGGAACTCACACCACAGCCTAGAAACATATATTTTGAATCAAAATGTGTGGAATCAAAAGACTAGTTTTACAAGTGAAGTTGGGGATTATTTCAGAGTAAGAAACTCAGCCTTAGGGTTAAAGAAGAGCAGTACAGTTTGCCCCAAGCTCCACTTGTACGGGCTGCACAAACCACCAGCCACAGGTCATTTATGAGGAAAGTTAGTGCAGCAAACTGCTGCCTTCTACTGCACTGGAGACTTCAAAAATGAGGGGGTACTGCCTGTGACACCTGATCAGCCAGACTTGTTTTGTTCATTACTGTAAGATGCAGAGATCCTGGGACTGAACAGAAACTCAGGGAAACGGTGCTGGTAGCAGAAGGAAAAAAAAACCAAAAAGGGAGGTTACCTGTCATAACCAGTATAACTGAAAGATCTAGAATGATTTAAACAAAGTTTAGGGAGAGAGTTTCCAAGGAAAAACAGCTGCCCCAAAAGAGGACAAAGGTGAATTTCCAGTAGGAAGACTTTCATCTCTACAAAGTACTGAGAAATTCAGCAGTTTGCAGCAGTGGGACACAGGCCAAACAAGCCTGTTATGTCTCCATCCACAGACAGAGAGGTTCCTATCAAAGCATGGCTCTGCCGTGGCCAAGGCAAAGCTGTGATATAATCTAAATGCTGCTTTGCAAAAAAAAGGTGAATTCATTTCATCACACCTTGGGCCAATGTCTGGCAGCTGAGATAGCCAGCAAATGAAGGTATAAATCTTTCAAGACTTGGGCAAAATAGACCAAAGAACAGAAGTCAGGAACATGTCCGAAACCTACTGCAGAACACCTAGGGAAAGTGTAATAATTAAATTCTCACTTCACTTTTGTCAGATTGATCACCACCAAATGGTGAGACAGTAATGAGCAATTTCCCGCCTGGGCTGGCCAAATGAAATAGAACCGCATTGTACTGGTCTTCTACCAAGGGCCAGATGGAAAGGACTGGCATCCAGCTAGCCCACCTACAGAACAGGTCAGATCCCATAGGAGCAGCAGGAAGGTGTTCAACTGCTCTGTCCACAGCACTGCAGTACTCAGATAATGTTGTCAACCTCTCCAACACCAGGAAAGAAACATTGGTTCCTCCCTGAAGGTAAGATGACAAGACAAAATTCCTGGTAGGCACAGAGACACTCTGATTACCTAAGAGGACAAGGTTGATATGATGCATAAGTTCAGGCTCATGTTCCTCAGGAACACATATTTTGGTAATTACCTTGCACTTACACTGATAGGATATTGCTTTTGAACATCTGCTGCTGACATTGACTACAATGTAACAAAATAAAACTTAGCACAACAGACGATGTTACAATCTGTAATAGACTCATTGATTGTCATAAACCAAATACACCTAAACACAGTTATCAACAGTAATTTTTATAATTCTTTCATGCAGTTCAATGTCCTGCTGTGCACAGCTTTTCAGAGATAAGGCCTAAAAGAGCCACTGCACACACATGCACAGTGATTTTTTCACGCCTTCACAAGAACACACAGAGAAATCCCTGACAGGAGGAATGATACAACTTGCCGGCCTGAACAGGCCAAACTGAGGGTAAACAGAACTAAAGGCTGTTGTGGGAAGTGAAGTTCCCAGGACAAAGCTGCAGACTCATTAGGTCATGCTCATACACAACTGGGGATAGAGGTCAACCAACTGAAACATGAAAGTCAGATATTAGCCATTTACCAATCATGAGTAACAGATTTAACTTTTTACCACCTCTTGGATACCACAGAATCATAGAATCATGGAATGGTTTGGGATGGAAAGGATCTTAAAACTCATCTTGTTATACCCCCTGCCATGGGCAGGGACACCTTCTACTAGGCCACATTGCTTCAAAAGCCCTGTCCAACCTGGCCTTGCACACTTTGAGGGATGGAGCAGCAACAGCTTCTATGGGCACCCTGTGCCAGGGTCTTGCCACTCTCCCATGGAAGTCCTTCTTATTATTCCAATAACCCTGCCCTCTGGCAGTGGGAAGCCATTATCTCTTGTCCAAAGTCCCTCTCCAGTTCCCTTGGAGTCCCCATAGGTACTGAAAAGCTGCAGTAAGGTCACCCTAGATGCTTCTCTTCCTGAGGCTGAATAATCCCAACTCCCACAGCCTTCTTTTTTTTCCTCTGAGTTCGATTCTATTGTTGGAAAATTATCAGACAAAATTAAAGTGCTTCTCTTTTCTTTAACAAAACCTCTACCTTTTCCCTTTGGTGCCCTATAAATAAAGTGTCAAATAATGTTTATCCTTTTTAAATCTGAAATCTTATATGTTTCATTCTTGCTGGACATTCTTCAAGAAGAAATATACCACAATAATTTCTGCACAGACTGAATTCCTTCAGATTTTGGATATTAAGTTCAGATTCCTATTATCCAAGACAGAGCCATGCTGTTTCAGTGTCCATGTCAGAAGAACAATTGGAGTTGTTTTTCCACCGGACAAGTCAGGTGCTCAGACAAGTACTCCTAGTCTTGAGGGTTCCTGCGTTCAGGCTGCATTTTGTGAGGGTAGAGGGGGGGAATGATGGGTGAAGGACAGAGATAGGACAGCCCCTGAGCTCAATCCTTTCACATTTCAAGATGAACCAAAAGCACAGAATTGAAGAATATTTATGACTTTATATACCCTTTACATTAATGTTTTTTGGTAAGTATGGGCACTTTCAGGAGCTTCTGCTCGGTGACTTCACAGAGCCTTCACCAGTGCAGCAGGACCGGCACCCGCCGAAATCTGCGCAGAGCCTTCATAAGAGATCAGCAGCGGGATCCTTCCATCCAGACGGGTCCTGGAGCCACTCCCGCCGTTCGGGACCGGCGGGCCTCACCCGCTCCAACCTGGCACCCGGCAGTCCCCGCCAGCTGGTGCCCTCCGCGCACGCCCGGCGAACTCACCCAGGGTCGGAGGGGGCTCCCGCTCCCAGGCCACCTCACCGCGCAGCCCGGCCCCACCACAGCCGCTCCCCCGCCCTAGGAGGCCGCGGCCGCCGCTCCCGCGGCGCTGAGGCGCTCGGCTGCCGCCGGGACGGAGCCTGAGGGAAACAGAGGATCCCGTGAAGGGCCCCGGAGCGGCCACGCGTGCCGCACTCGCCCACCTCCGCCGCTCCCACCCGGCCGCGCGCGCTCGTCACGCGGCGGCGCAGAGCCCACATTGGCCGCGCCGAGGCATTTGCATCACGTGCCTCTTCTTGACCAATGGGGGGCGGCCGCGTGGCTCCGCCCCGCGGGGGCAGTTGCGGTGCAGGGTGCGGTCCCAGCGCGGCGGAGACAAAGTCGCACCGCACCGCACCGCACCGCACCGCACCGCACCCTCACCCGGCGGGGGCCGTGACCGGCAGGGGGCGGGGCGGGCTCGAGGCGCGCGCGGCCAACGGTGCATGCGGCGCAGGCCCAGGCCCAGGCCCGATGGCGACCACTGCCGCCATGTCCCTGGGTAATTACAGCAGCCTGAACCGGGCCCAGCTTACCTTCGAATACCTGCACACCAACTCGTGAGTACCCGGCTGGGGTGGTGCGGGCCCGCGGCATCTGGCCTGCTCGGGACCCCGGCTCAGTGCGATGGGCCTGGCCGAAGCCACGAGGGCTGGTGGGGCTAAGCGGGCCCCAGCCCCAGGCCCGGGCGCTTCGTGGTCCTTCCGGGGACCGCGGACAGGTCCGTGGATCACGGAGAGCCGGTGCGTGGGGACAAGAAGCCCCGGGAGGAACGGGGAAGCCCTTTGGGCAACCAGACCCGCACGGTCGGACCTCTGGAGAACAGTGTGTGTGCGCTGTCGTGCCAGCCACCATCCCTCTGTGGCATCTGGCTTTATGCGTGACTGTTTTGCAGGTTTATTTTTAACAGGATTATGATAACATTTTTTCCAGTCAGATTTTTACATGTCGCCAGTGAATGCCCCAAAATAATACCTCTTGAGAAGAGGCAAAGCCATTATTTAAGATGAGTTTCTCGTGGACACATGTCTAGCAAATGAGAAGCACCATCAGGAAGCAGCACTTAAGCGGGGTTAGGGTGCCCATCAACACCCGCCTGCTGCTCCTAAGCCTTGTAATGGCACGTATAGAGGAGATAGAAGAGCTTGTTCTGCCCAAACTGGAAGAACTCTGTGGAATCACTTGGCATTGCTTCATTTTGATCAGCTGGTCACCAGCGTAAGATTGTCTGCTGATGTTCTGTGGAAGACTTGGCTTACTTTTATCCATCAATAGAAGAATAAATAAAGTGCAGGTTTATCTTTTTGTTTCCCTTTTCAACATGTGAAGGATCACAGTGGTCGACAGCAGTCTAAAGAAGGCACAGGAACATGGGCAACTTGATTTCAAAGGATTTTTGTCTGGTTCTGTTGGTAATGAGATGCATCTACAAGAGCAGTTAAGACTAATCTCACATATGTGAAGACCATTACAATCCACTTATTTTCAGAATCAGGAAAGTAATGGGCTTTGAACAGGGAAATAAACCTAGTGGTGGCTCCATGTCACATTTGGGTCTGCTCTTTAGCTTGGCTGGTGGCAGTTGGAGTGAACAGTCTGGTGCCTGAAGATAGACAATACTGAGTCATGTTGTGGTGCTATTGTTGATTTGTGAAATTCTCATGTCCAGCTCTAGAAGACATTTTTTTTATGGATGAGAAGACTGTGCAGATGATGGCAGTGCTCTGTCAGCAGCTTGTGTTTGCTTACAAAACTCTTCATAAGAAGATAAAGCCTGTGCTAAAGACTGAGTTGTTGCTGCTGCTCTCAAGTGTATTAAAGCTACTTCATGTTGCCATTGTGTTTACGCTGTTGTCTGCTTGTGGTGTGCTGCATGTCTGCAGTGATACCTGCATTACCGAATTCTTGGAAAGAGATGGAGATGGAAGCCAATGCTTGGATAAGCCAAAGCCAGAGCTCCTCATCCATCGTGAACAAAGAGCCTTTTGAGGTTATGGGAATCAGTGCATAAATGAAATGCTTCCCTAAGAATGGCAATGGGAGTTATGGAAGTCATTATAAAAACAAAGCAGCAAACTGACCCATAACAACCAACCTCTCCTGCTCCTCCAGAAAAAAAAAGAGCAAAAAAGAAAACGAGCTAATCCCCAAATCAACCCAAGGCCAGTATAGAGATTTTGATAGAGGAGACTGGTCTCCTCTGGACTGCTCTCTTGCTGAGGGAGACCATCCCATCTTAGATAAATTCTACTTCAGTGCTAAGTGTATTCTCATAATCAAGGAGGTAGAAATTCTTTAAATTGCAGTGAAAGACCAACCATCTGACTGCTAGGGTGCAGAAGAAAACCATGTGTTGTTTTTTTTTTTAATTTTTTCTCCCCTTCCTTTTAAAGACTTTCTTTCAGAAAAGTTTCCATATGTCCAACTCAGAGCACTCAATCTGAAGTGCTTTACAGGAGACAGTTGATCAGGTCCCTGAGCTTGAGGACCTGCAGCAGATCTTTCCAATAGCAGCTTAATGCTTGCATGTCTGATGGCACATGGAGTTGAACCTCCAGCATCTACATTAATAGATTCAGTTGCCATATTTTTAAAAAGTAAAAATATCGCTCTGCTTTCCCAACTGATTTATTGATGAATAGTTGAGGGCAGACAGACTTTTTTTGTAAGTTCTGTAGTGATGAGACAGAAGGCCATGGCTTTAACATAAGAGTTCATACTAGATAGGTTCATACTAGATAGAAGGAAGATAGTCTTCCCTGTGTGGGTGGGAAGGCCCTGGAAAAGGGTGCTCAGAGAAGCTGTGGCTGCCTCATCCCTCAAAGTGTCCAAGGCCAGGTTGGATGGGGCTTGGAGCAACCTGGCCTAGTGGAAGGTGTTCCTGCCCATGGCCGTACTTGATGACCTTTAAAGGTCTTTTTCAACCCTTATGTTTCCATGTTAAAGTTCTTTTAAATCCTAGAATGAAAATCAGTGTGCATAAGCACATGAAAATTACATGTGAATTGTTTTATGACTTTCCAGCGTCACCTGCTTACCTTTGCATTGGTTTTCCTTAACAATTAAATGCTGTTACATTAAGATACATTAAGATACTTCCAAAGTTATTAATTGAGATGATGCCAAAAATATAACAGAGACCAACTAATTTGTATTTGCATATTTTGAATATTTATAATAAAAAATTGAATTATTTTGTTAAAAGTTGAGGACCTGTAATTGTCTTCTAGCAGTAGCTAGCCTTTAGCTTGCAACTTGTGTGTTGTTGTATAACAAGAATTGTCCTGGTGAATACAGTTGGAGTGGAAGAAGGTCACTCGAAGAGACTTCAAAATGACTAAATGATGGACTTGAAGAAAACTAGTAATAATAGACCAACAGTATTTCACTCCCTCACCAAATTCCCTCTTCATGTGCTTTTTCTCTATTTTGGCCTGAAACAGAGTGCATTATTTAGAGAATGGCTGTTGTTCTCGATGTGCCAAAATAAACTATTTTCCCAGATGTTCTCTCCTTCAGAAGAAAAGTGAAGTCTTAAGTCTCTCATTAGTAATTAGATACTTGTCTGCAGGGTCTGGAGTCCACCTAGGTTCAAGCAGGAGGTTCCTGTAGGAATTTCTCACAAAACAAGTTTTTCTTCCCTTGGGACACTACTCCAAATGATTCTTTGTAGAGGTGTTTGAAGTTGGTTGTGTTTTAGAGCCATCTAATTTGACCTTTTGTCACTTATGTTTCAATAAATTGCCAAATTCAATGTTGGACTCCCCTTTTTAGATTCCTTATCAAGCCTCCAGTTCTGCATGGAGCTGGCTCAAATGGAAGGCGCACATTGTGGGATGATCCAGGCCAGTCTTTGTCTACCCAGATGAGCTGTTGTTGACACTATGGATTTTGATGCTACTTTCCTCCCTTCCATATGTCGTTTCACCCATTGTATGGCAGTAATAGTTGTATTTTGGATACTCTGATGCAGGTTGTTTTTGCCTCTGATGATGCCTATCTAAAATAAGCCCACCATGTTTGCAGGTTAGTAGCAAGCTCTGATAGGCTTCATTTTGCCAACACTTTGTCTTGTTTTTTGAAGTTGTGCTGCAAGTAAAATCATCCCAAACTTTTTTGAGGAGGTGTGAGAAATGGTCACCGGTTGATCATGATGGATGTGAAGTATTTCAGGCACTTTTGACTGTAAGGCAAGACCATTTGGTTTGTTTGAGATTAGCTGATTAAATCAGGTCCCAAAGCACTTCATCTGACTTAAGTTAGATATTGACAAGTGTGTTCAAATTAATAAATTGAATGGAAGACTTTCATAGTATATATTCTTTTCTCTTAGTGATAAATAGGTGGAGTGAATTTCATTGGCTTGTGGCAAAGTCAGTAGTCAAGGTCAGTAGTGTTGGGCTATGCAGTGTTTTGTTTTGCCTTTCTTGTCACCTGTAGCTGTGCTATCAATTGTTTTGTTCCAGCATCTTTCTTTGGAAATCCTTATTTGTATCTTATCTGCATATTTTCTTTGAAGTATTCCTAAAATTGTGGAGTAAAAAGTGCTCATAAAGCATAGTTACTAGTGCTAAAGCATCCATTTGCTTATGGGTTCCTTCCTAAATAAACTTTGGTGATGTTGACCTGTGGAGCTGAATAGACACTTTTAAACTCAGGAGAACATTTGATATCTGTAATCATCTTGCATATCTGCTCACTCACCTCCCCAGTGGAATGGAAAGGTGAATGGTACAAGGCTAAAACCCATGGGCTGAGATAAGAACATTTCAAATATTGAAGTGAAGAAACATATGATGATAATAGAGAGGAATAAACCCCAAAAGTCAAGTGATGCTCAATACGATTGCTCAGCATCCACTGACCCATGCCCTGCCTGTCCCCCAAGAGTGATTGGCCCCTCCTGGCCAACTCCCCTGGTTTGTAGACTGGGCAGAACATTCTGTGGTACGGAATATTCCTCTGCCCACTTTGGGTCAGCTGCCCTGACCATGCTCCCCTCCAGCTTGTATAGCTGACTACTGCAGGACACTGAAAAGTCCTTGACTTAGGGTATGAATGGCTTGGCACCAGACATCAGTGTGTTATCAACATTGTACTCACACTAAATCCAAAACACATCTCTTAACACCTACTGAGAAGAAAATGAACTCTATCCCTGCTGAAACCAGGACAGCAGGAATTCCTGTTCAAAGGAAGGAATACCAAGATTGTGTTTCTATGGAAGCTTTCTGGTGGGGTAGATAGTCTTCCAAACACTGTTCCCATTGGTCTTGTCTCTGCGGGAGAGTGGAGATAGGGAAATCTCTGTTTCTGTTGTTTTAGTGGTAACTTTAAAGCCTGATGTCTTTTCCTATGACTGGAGCTGTGTTGATGGGTTCAGTGTAATCACCCTGAATATGGCTATGGAAGTGTGTTTTGTGGTTATTAACAGTGTGGACAGCTATATATTTTATGTGTGGGAAGTACCTATGTGTCTGTTCTTGGAAGGCTGAAAATATGAAGAAATACATTCTTTTTGGTCACCTGTTGGCTGTATGTGAGGGTTTTGTGCAAACTGAAACATGTTGATTAAACTGGTTTCCGAGGTCTTGGTCTCTTCATTGAACACCCTAGAGGAGTAACGTATTCCATCAACTGTTTCTCCATGTTTTTCTATTAAACTTATAGTGGATGTGGATCATCTATGTTTGAAAAAATTGTTAGATTTTGAAGTTAGGTTGCCAGCTTGGGCATGAAGTGAAGATATGGCATTTATTCCAACAGACAGTGTATTATAATGATTTTTATTAGCTGCTTAAGTTTTTGTCACTATCTGTTTCAGTTATGAGGCATATAATTAATGGCTTCCAAATGGAAACTGCTTAAAAGAGGTGTCAGTTAAGAGGCTGGAAATGAAACATGTCTCTTGAGATTGTGCTGAAGTGGTAGCTGGGTTCATTATTTTAGTGTTAATTTGGAAAGGTGGCATGGTACAGTGGTGTCAGAAGACTTTCTCTGGATTAGTAGCAGTTGCACCTACTGGATGTTAGCCAGGATCTGGAAGCATTTTTCTGTCACAAATAACTTCCGCAGTAGGACTGTGTGCATGGGGGAGACTCACCTTGTCAATAATGTTGTTCATGTCTTGTTGCCCAGAGTGGCTGTGGGCTACCGCATTCCCAGAAGTGTTCAAGGCTAGGTTGGACAGGGCTTGGAGCAAGGTGTCCCTACCCATGGCAGGAGGATTGGAATAAAATTTGCTTTAAGGTCCCTTCCAACTCAAACTGTTCTGTGATTCTATGGTAATCCTCATCTGGCCATATTTACTTGTAGGCAGTATTTAGTTGCTGTGAAAAGACCTGTCACTGTGCTGTATTAGGACTTCCATGAACTGTTGACTGGATCATAGGCTCATTGGATCATCATGTTCTCTGTCATGTCTGTGTAGCTGCAGTATGTTCTAGACCATAATGAGCTGCAATTTGGGACAGACTGGCTGCTGCATGGCTGCCTCTGGCAGACAGTAAATCACTCGTTCCTAGTCTGCTGTCAGCCAGACCATTGTGTTATACCTATTTGACTGGATTTTTTTAAAATGTAGTTGAGATTCTTGCTTATTTAAAGGTCTCTCTTTTTTTCAGTGTTGGTGTAACTCTGATGATTTCTGTTTCATTGCAGAACTACCCATGAGTTCTTGTTTGGTGCCCTTGCTGAACTTGTAGATAATGCCAGGTATGTAGCTGAGACTGCCTAATTCCTGAGGTAACTTTGGTTAAGATTTAATTCACCTATGTATTAGTTGATCTTAAGCAATTTTCACTTCTAGTAGATTTTACAAGAAAATAGAATTTTAATTTAGCATGAGTATTTCACTTTCTCCTCTTACATTGCCTCATCAACCCCCTTAAAAAAATATTCCTGGAAAGACAGGTTTGAATGAATCCTGGAACAACTCATATTGGAAAAGAATTTGATAGCAGACACAAGAGAGTTTTAAAGAAAAAACTAGTCTGCCCTTTTGTGTAAAGAAATTGCTAAAATAAATATTACAGGAGCTGTGACTCTTCTGATATCTAAAAAATCATAGTATCAAACATTACAATGAAAATCAAATCAGAAGTGGGATGTTGAAAAATAAAGCAAGAACTGCTAAAGGAATTTTGACAATTCAGGAGTTATGGTCTTTGGAAATGGCAGGTGTTGGGCCACCTGTCTCACCTGTATGTGGAGGGAATCCCTGCTACAGAAGCCTCCCAAGCCTTGTGTGCTTTTGTCTTGAGCTAGAGGAAGTACTGTCATGAAGCACTATGGAAGTATTTTGGGATTGTTTTCTCTCAAGTGTGATTTGTCACAGTGTGCATTTTGTGATGTAAGTAGTTGAAACTGGGGCATTTTTGAGTTGGAAAGCTTCTGTTCAGGGAATCAGCTCTGTGTGCGTGTGTGCACTCACATGCGAGCTGGTGCTGTGTTCATGGTTGCAACAAGGTAAGAAAAAGTAGGGGGCCTTTGGGGGTGGTTTTCCCTTCACCTCTTGGCTCCCCTCTGGCTATAGAGAGGTTGTCTTCTGGGAAGAAGTAGCTAGCCTGGGCTGGAGGTACAAAATTGAAACAAAGTGGCTGTGGCATTTGTCAAGTGGGGCTTTGTTACAGCTCTATAGTACCATGCCTCTAGTCAGCAAACCCAGGTTGGTTTGGGAAGAGAGCAGTGGTGCTGTACCAGCTATACTTTCAAATACAGAGAGGATGCAGTGTGTGAAGTGTGGCACTTCAGTGATCTTGTAATGGCAGTTGCCTGTAACAATCTTGAATGTATTGGAATGAGGCTTTATGTGGAGTTACTAAACATTTTGTAGGCAGCTCGACAGAAAAACCTATAGCTGTTGTTTGTTTTGTACAGGAGGGAGCTCAGAAGTGTATACTCATTTGATTCCCAGCCCCAGAATGACTTTTGTTAGAATGCCAGTGGTACTTCCTGTCACCAGACCCGTTTGTGTGCTGGCAATGTCTTATGCTGGAGTTTAGGTTCAGATAAACAAAATGTAGGACAATGTTTTCTGTCACTGATGACTGTGGGGCCTCTGTGGGCTTTGATCTCTACAGCCAGTTATTTTGGAAATGCTTGTGTATGCCGGGATTTTTAGCTTCATTTCTGTTTAATGTTTGGATATCAATTGTGGTTTTATTTCTTTGTAGAGATGCAGATGCCACAAGAATAGACATTTATACTGGTAAGTAACTCATGCTGCTACCTTGCCTGTCAGCAATTAAGTCAGTAGTTAACTTTGATTTAGGCTGCAAATGTATGTTGTCCTTGATTGAATAAGAGCGAGGGTGCTTATGCCCAATCCTGGGATCAGTACTGGGCCCCTCAAGACAAGAAAGATGTTGAGGGGCTGGAGCATGTCCAGAGAAGGGTAAGGGAGCTGAAGAAGGGGCTGAAGCACAAGTCTGATGAGAAGTGGCTAAGGAAGCTGGGGAGCTCAGCCTGGAGAAAAGGAGGTTTATGGGGGGCCACCTTGCTCCAACAACTCCTGACAGAAGAGTGTAGCCATGTAGGGGTTGGGCTCTTCTCCCAGGTAATAAGTGACAGAAATAAGAGAAAAGAGCCACAAGTTGTGCCAGGAGATGTTTAGATTGGATATTAGGGAAAATTTCTTCACTGAAGGTGTAGTCAGACACTGGCACAGGCTGCCCAGGGCAGTGGGGGAGTCACTATCTACCCATATTTAAAAAATGTAGATCTGGTGTTTAGGGACATGGTTTAGTGAACTCAACTATGTTACATTCGTGGTTGGACTTGATGATCGTAAGGGTCTTTTCCAACCTGAATAATTCTATTCTACCATTTCTTCTGTGCCGTAGTGCCTTTTGTCTTTCAAAAAGGAGTACCTTTACAAATATCTTGGGGAAGCAATTAAGTCAGCCTTCACCTGGGGTCAGGTGAAGTGAGTGGCTCTTTGTAGTGAGTGCTAAAAAACTCCACTGACACAATACAGTTTTGTAGTGAAGAAGTTCTTAGTCATTCTGTAACAAAAATCTGGTGCTCTTTCTTACTGCTTAACCATATTGCAGGTTTAAAAGTCCTATTTCTTGTGTTACTTTTGTTGTTAACATAGATCCCATTTTATGGAACTTTTAACTTCTGTTTATGGGAACAGTGAATAACTTTTCTCTTGCAGAGCGACGAGAGGACCTGCGAGGTGGATTCATACTGTGTTTTTTAGATGATGGAACAGGAATGGATTCAAGTAAGTGACAGAAAGTTACATCTGCATTTGCAAGCTGAGGTTTCATGTTCTAGTTTAAGTTAAATTAACAGCTTAGTTCCATTGAAAAGGACATGTTCCATGCCTGTGTACATGCTTCTGCCTCTCCACTTGCTCTTTCACACCATATTACATGTCAAACCATTTACCTCTTCCACTGCAGAAAACTAATCTGGTCAAAAGAAAGTTGTTTTGCTGCAATATAGAGTTGGATCAGCCTGACTTGAAGTTTCCCAGTATGCTGAAGTTGGCCTTGGGGCTGAAGGGAGAATAGTGGAGCAAGAAGGGTAACAAGCGCAAGGTTTGATGGCATAAGCCTTTTCCCCATCTGGCTGCCAGATGATTATCGTATCTCAACTCTAACGAGAAAGTGTGCCATGGCAGAAATTAAGGTTCTGCTTTGAAAACAGTTTGCCATTGTTTCATCATGGACGTTGTGTTTGAGATCAATACTGGACAATATAAAACCTTAGTAATATGAGAATATAGCAAATGTATTTCTGCCTTGTAAGAATTGCTGTAAATTGGCGTTGTATCTAGCAGGAGAAAGCGAAAAGCTTTTCTACTTTACTTTAGCATCAATGAGCAGCACTGTCAACCCACCTTTGAGTCTTGAGGATTGGTAAGTCATCCTGTGAGGAGTTTCATACACAGAAAGATTGGGTGAAATTGGGAGGTGAATTTGGAGAAGACAAAGGAAATGGGTAAATAAGCAACAACTAACATTTTTGCACTGATTCCTCAGTACTTTAAGTTCCTCTTGTGATATTTTCGTAGTTCAATCCCAGCTGGCAACTCAGCCCTACACAGCTGCTTACTCCATCTCCACTGGGATGGTGGAGAGAATCAGAAAGGTAAAATATGAAAACTTAATGGGTTGAAATAAAGACAGTTCAGTAGGGAAAACAAAACCTGTGCATGCAAGCACAGCAAACCAAGGAATTCATTCCCCACTTCCTGTGGGCAGGCCACCCCCAGAAGACAGGCCTCCATCATGTAAAACAGTGACTTGGGAAGGTGAATGCTGTAAGGCCGCACATGCCCCTCTTCCTCCTACTTCCCCAGCTTTATCTGGTGAGCACTACACCAAGTTGCATGAAGCTTGGAACAACCTGGTCTAGTTGGGAAAGCGTCCTTGCCACGGCAGGGGGTGGAACCAGATGGTCTTCAAGGCCCGTTCTAATCCTAACCATTCTGGAATTTTATGATCCTGTCTGGAATCCCTTGGGTCAGTTCGGATCAGCCATCCCAGACTTGTCCCCTCCCAGCTTCTTGTACAACCCAGCCTGCTTGCTGGTGGTGCAGTTTGAGAAGCAGAAAGGACATTGATGCTATGTAAGCTGTGTTCAGCACTAATGAAAACCCTGTATTAGCAACACTCTTCTCTAAAATACATTCCCATGCCAGTTAGCATGGAGAGATTGAACTCTATCCCAGCCCAAACCCATATAGATATGAAGCATTTAATTCAATTTAATTTGTGCTTTGATACACAGATTTGTGACTTCCATAAAGGAATTTGGTTTGAACTATTGGTACCTTCTGTATATTCTTTGGAATACAATTAAGGATGCTAAATGGGTCTCCTAAGAGTACTTTCCTGCCATCAGTTTAGTTGAAGGAAACCGTAAAGCCCCATCCATAAATAAAAAGCTCTGAGATTGAAGTGTGGCCTTCTGATAATCTTTAAGATCAGGGAGAGGAAAGTACAACCTTCTCTGCCTGTGTGGAAAACTGTGCGTTTCTCTGGAAGGTGCCAGATGTCTGTTCTAATGCCGCAGAATTTTATGGCAGCTTTTATACAGTTATTGCATCTGTAGTGCTGATTTTTAAAATGGGATTTAAGTAGTGGCTATTGTCTTGGTTTAAGACAATTTAAGGGGGATGCTCTGAAATGAGTTATATCCCCTTAGTTTTAACCAACCCCTTTCCACAGAAAATAAATGTGTAAAAATAAGTGAAAAAATAACAATTTACTAACAAGCAAAACAGCAACAGGTACAAACTAACAGTAAATAGTCACTAGATACAAAATTGCTAAATGTCATGGACTCCTTGGGAACAAAGAGGAAACTCAAAATGGCAGTGACACCTTTCCCCAAGATGACGCTTGCCATGGGCAACTGTGTGTGGGGAGACAAAGGGAAAATGACAGCAGCTTCGTGGGTATATGTGACTGACACACTCTGGCAGCTGGTACTCAGTCAAGGACTAGGACCTGTGGAAGGACTTCACCTTTGTCTTGGCAGAGGATGGCAGGGCAGCCAGTTAAGGTGGCTCAGACTCTGTGATTTCTCCTGTCAGCTGGGTGCTGCTGGCAGCTGCAGGGTCTGGGGCCTCTTCACTCCTCTTAGCACCATGCTGCAGCTGCAGACACATGTTGCAAAATTCACTCTGAAAGTTTTTTATTGTGACATGCAGCATCCCATTTTGTGGCAACAGTTGCTACTGTTGTGAGCACAGAAAACCTACCTGAAACAACCCCCTCTGGAGGTCAGAGAGAAACAGAAGAAAAAAAAAAACAACCCCAAAGCAGAGCCTCTGCCTTGAGCAAAAGCTATGAGAGGAGAGAAGGTCTGCCTGAATGCTTTGACTTTAAAGAGCTTGACACTTGCCTGTCCCCATCCCCAGCCCTCTGGTTCTGATTCTGGCTGCACTGCTGGGTCTTAAAGAGACTTTCAACTTTGAGCACAGATGGATATGAAATATAATAATATTTGGGTTACCTAGAACAGCTATTAAGTGGCTTCTTTTGACTAATCTTTCAGCTAAATGTTGAAGAATTTTATCCTGATAGCCTGAAATGCTCAGTAAGGAAGATTGGCAGATACTGTGAGTTGCAGGGGTGTTTCACAGCACTGTGAATTTATATATAGCAAATTCCATGTAATTCATGTTCTTTGACTGTCTTGATGTTTGACCAAGGGCTGCCAGATGGAAGTTCTATGTGCTGCACCATTTGCTTGTCAGCATGGATGGAAGCAGCTAAGGAGAGTCTTTCATTCAAACTTGCTGCATGGGACTCTCTGGTTCCATCCCTGGATGTAGGGATATGAGCATAAATTTCTCATATTGCAGGGTCTACCAGTTTTAAAGATATCCTGAAGATCTCCTATCTGACTTTAAGAGATGTCAGCAGAAAACTTTTTATTGGACTTTTCTTCCTCAGTACAGATCTTGCTTCAACAGAAATCATGGATCTTGGGAGTATTTTATTTTTATGCATGATAACTTCAATTAAAAATCATTTTTATTGTACATAAAGCTGACATGTTAAAAAAAATACCTCCATGACTTGCTGTAGGGCTGTTGTAGCCCATGCTAGTATGGGATCTTCACAAGTCAACTGAAAGGATGGCTTGGAAGGCTGCCACCATCGGAGAATGATAAGTGAATAAACCCAGTTGCATCTGGGCACTTCTGAATGGAGGAAAGAGATGCAGGGCTTAAGTTAACTGTTCCAGTAACAGTTTGTGTTACTCTGTCTTGTTGCTGTTCTCTTTGGTCTTGTTCTGTCTTGGGCAATTCTAGATTAGTCTTGGCAGGCTCTGAAAACGGAAGGGTATAGTGAGGCAGTTGGTCATATTTGTGTGCTCTATCTGAATGGCTTCTGATTAGCAAGCCAAATGACAATTCCTCATTTCTAAAAATGAGGGGTGTTTGTCAAGTGATTCCTGCTGCAGTTGCATTCAGTTTTCACTGCATTGGCTCTCTTAATGATCACTCTGGGTTGTGTGGTCTCAAGATCAAAATACGTTTGCACTCAAGCTGGAGACATCTCACATTGTAGTCATGAGTTATCATGAGGTCCAAGGATTCTGTGATGTTATAGGACAGCTCTTTTCAAAAGAACCATCACGTCACAAGGTATCAGAATTATAGAATCTTCTGAGTTGGAAGGGTGGGATTTTGGGGTGTTCTGTGCCTGAGAGAGTTGTCCAAATGCTTCTGGGGCTCTGTCAGGCATGAGACCATGACCACTGCCATGGGGAGTCTGTTCCAGTGCCCGACCATCCTTTTGGTGAAGAACCTTTTTCTAATTTCAAATATTAATAAATATATTATTATCCAGTATATACCCTCTGCTCCCAACACAAAATAATAATACTGGTCCAAAACTGGCTCTTTTGTAAGAAATAGGAGTCCATAGAAAACCAAACAATAGATCTCATGCAGCACATCACATTTCTCATACTATCAGTGAAATCACTACTCAGACTTGAAATTTTACCTAATGCCTGGCTCTGGAAGTGCTGCGTGAATTTAAAGAGTCAAAATACAGGTTGAATGATTCAATGAATCAACTTGTAGGTTGAGAAAGTGTAACAAGTAGTTTAGGAAGTGACTGTAGTTTTATTCTTAAGCAATTGAAGAAAATAAATCTACCTGGCATTTTCATCACAGAAGTGCTCAGGTTGGAAAGTACCTTTGGATCATTTGTTCCAGCCTTTCATGGGAAAGGGAATAGATGATTTAGCACCTTGTCTCTCCAGTGGTTGGGGACTCCACCACACACCTGGGGAGGTTTTTCTAGTGATTGATTAAATGACTGATTGATCTCTAAAAAATTTCTTACTTTTTTAAGAAGAAACCTCTCCCAGTGCAACTTGTATCTGTTGCCTCTTTTTCATGTGGCTCCTAGGGAAGTGTAGCCTTTGTAGCTACCCTTCAAGTACTGTAATACTGTGATGAGATTCCCCTTGGGCCCTCTTTCCTCAAGAAAGGAGACCTAGTTCTTCTCATAGGACAGTTTCTGCTGCCCTCTGATCATCTCCTTGTTCCACCACCCTGTTAAGTCTGTCTGCATCCTTCCTGAATTGAGGAGACAAAACTGGACACAGTACAGCAGGTGGGGGCCTGACAAACACAAAGTTGAGTGGGCTAATCACATTTCCATCTCTTGGCAATGTCCCTGTGGATACAGTCCAGGATCCTGTTTGCCTCAGTTGCTGTTGTGGGACACTGCTGGATCATACTCAGCTTGCTGTCTACCAGGATCCTTCCAGCAAGGCTACTCCTCCCAATCTGCTGATTCCAGTCTGTGCTGGGCTCTTGGGTTATTTAATCCTGGGTGCAGGACTTTACAGTCCCTTGAACTTCAGACACAATCTTGCTTGCCCACTATTTCAGCTGGTCCAGGTGTCTAAGAAAACATTCCTATTTACCCCTATCAACAAAGCTGGTGAGGATTCAAAAGCACCCAGCTGTCCAGATCCTGTTTGGAGATGTTGAGGAATGTGGGGCACAGCATCAGTCCCTGGGGTCTCTGCTTGTGACATCCTGCCAGCCAGAGTGAAAACCATTGATGATCACTTCTGAGCATGACCCATGAGCCAATTCTCTACTTGTTTTATATACCACTTGCCTGGTCTGTGTCTCCCCAGTTTGTCCAGGACCAGGCTGTGTTAAACTGTGTCCAATGCTATGTTGAAGTCCAGCCAAATAACACCCACTACTCTCTCCATAAATACAGGAAGTGCTGCCTTATAGAAGGTGACCAAATCAGTCAAGTGTGACTTGTCTTTGTAAATCTCTGCAGACTTAGCCCAGTTAGCTGCCTTGTTTGGTTTCTAATACTTTTTAAGAGGGCTTGTTCCATTGTTTTTTGAGAGATTGAAGCAAATATATCCGGTCTTACCTTTTTCAACTGTATTTTTGAAGTTTGGAAGCTCAAAACAGCTTTTGTTTTAATGGAAGCAGTTAATTAAGTAGCTGTGTCTTGGTTGCTTTATTAGTATTTTAGTTTTTAATATTTGCTGTTTAGTATTTTAGTAGTTGCTTTATTTGTATTTTAAAAATACTGTTTATCCAAGGCTCACAGTGGTGAGGAACAATGTTTAACTGGAACTCCAACTCCTACTTTAGAGTGTATACACAATCGTGTGTGTGGACGGTGACTCTTGGGGGCTACTTTCAGGGGAGCCACACAATTCTCAGGAGAAAATGTCTCTTTAACCTTGTTTAAGGTTAAATCTTTAACCTAAACATTGATGTTTCCTCTAAAGTTAACACATTTTTAAAACAAATTACAGGAATATATATCAAAGCGATTTGTCAGTCACTGTCTGTTTCCAGTCACTGCCCCATGTGGGGCTGGTGTCCTGTGTTTGTTACAGTGATAAAGGACCACAGCTTTTCCCTTGTTCCCCCATCCTCAGAAAGTTCAACTTGGCTTTAGGCTGATTTCCCCCAGGTAATGAATTAAATCCTGCCATCTTGACCATCTTGAGTGAATTTCTTCAGCTTGTTTTTTCTCTTCTTTGTTTTGCATAGATCTCCCTTCTCTATCTTTCATGCTGGGGAGTTTTGCTTTTTTAAATCCAATAACTCTGAGGCACAATGAAACAAAAATAGGGTGACTAAAATAGCCTTAAGTGGAAACACCCTCCAGAGCCTTTAAAGAGCTGAAAAAAAAAATGTCTTGATTCTTGGGAGGTTATAAATATTAAATCTCTCCTAAAGACAGCCTGGAGAGGGGTGCTACCTCACATTCCCCTCTGCTCAGCATCACTTTTGTCACTCTGACCTGAAAGAAGAGTCATAACAGGGTGGTTTCAGACATCCAACATTGAGTGATAAACCATCTGGTAACCTTTCCTGAGAGGGGAAATGCTTTGGATAATTACTCTTTACCCTTTTTAGACTTTCTAAAAGTTTTTTAAAAATAGTTACTGAAAAATGTTTGTGGAGCAAAAATGTTCCAATAGTCCTTCTCTTTTTAATATCCCGTATCTACTTTCCTCACCAGGCTTTAAAATAACACAGTAATAGTAGTTAGAGTAATAATAATTGGATGATGATCATCATTGCCAACATCCTTACCCAGATCTCAAATACAAGACATTTCAGTGTTTTCTTTCTTTGGCTAGAAAATACTACAGTAGTCTGAAGGGAAGGCAGAGGTACTCTTATCCAGTCCAAAGCTGTTTCTGGAATAGCTGTGGAGCTCCACTGAGAACAGCTGCAGTTGAGGCAGTGAGGTGTTTGCACAGTTGTTCTCCTGCATTTATGTCTTTAAATCTGAATATAGTTTCAACTGAAAATGGTGTTCTGATACCAGCTCAGTGGTGTCATGTCAGACCAATGGTGTTAGTACTGAATATTTTACTGTAAAACTGGTCAATGCTGATAGGCCTGTGTGAGTCTCCTGCATCCTGAAATCTAGCCTGTCCATGGGCTCAGCCTCCCCCCATAGTTGCCTGATGGGGTGAATGTGTCTTGTGCTCCCTTACAGCTTGTGTATGCTTTTGTTTTTAGCCCTCACGGTAAGGCACTTTGTGTTCCTTGTCTCTGGAATTAAACTTCAGTAAACTCTGGTGAAATGATTACTATCTCTTGGGGGAAGGGAAAGGAATCGTTCTGTCCTAGGGATGATGTTAAAAGTCTATCCCTTGAACAATAGAAAGGCTGGAACTAAAAACGACAGACCCTCTCAGCTGTAAAGCCATTGTGTCCTTTCATTTTGTCCTGTGCTAATGAAGTCCTCTGCTAACTGCTGTAGGACCTGCTTGTGGTGACTTTCTCCCAAGCTGTCTGGCTGCCAGGAGTCCAGCAATTTGCTGCCAAAGTTAGCTTGTGTCCTACTGGTGCTTTAATTAACCAGAGTGTTCAGTTCAGCACTGTGAAGAAATAGGAGTGTTTATTCTGGATTACTGACCTTTTTAATAGTCCTGACTTATGCTCTAGTGCCAGTGCTCTCAAGTGTGTGGTGTCAGCGGGACATGGGATACAACAGACCCACTGTATCCTAGGGTCTTAATTTGTAAGAATTGACAACTGTGATGGACACAATAGATCATTTTTGTGAATTTTTTTTTCCAAAAGAAACATCTTCATGCAGTTCACATGGGCCAGTGGACTAGACTGAAACCAAAACCGTTTTTGGTCATCATCAAGGCACCTGTACAAATCTTCTGGTAACATCAGTGCCCTCAATCAGCATGTATCTCGCAGGGCTCTGTGGTACAGCTTCAGGATGCAGCTTGGGCTTTTGGCCTCTTTTTCTGGCCTATTTCCAGTGGTGAAGGAGTTACCTTCCTTCTTTATCTAAAAGATGTGTCTGTGTGTGTCTGTACACTGAAATAAGCCTTTTGTGTTCCCTGTCTCTTGTTGCAGATGAAGCTGCCAGTGTTATCCAGTTTGGTAAATCAGCCAAGCGATCACCTGAGTCCACTCAAATCGGGCAGTATGGGAACGGCTTGAAATCGTAGGTACAACGAGAGCCAGCCTGCTGAGGCTGGGGAGGTCGTAGTCTAGGTGATCAATGTACTTTTTGTTCAGAGGTGTATAGCTTTTTTCCCAGAAAAAAAAAAAAAAAAGCAGATGAACTCTAAGATTCCCTGGTTTGGTAGACAGGAGCTCTCTCAACATCTGTTGTAGTTTTCCAGTGGCCAAGAAGGCTCTGTACAGCTGACAACAGTGATTTGGGACTATGCCTGCATAAGGCAGAGGGTTAGAGCTTGGGGAAAATAATGGAAGAGCTGGAAACAAAATGGTCATCTCCCTGTTGCAGACAGGCAGTAAAATTTGAGCAAAATAGTGCTTCAGCCTCCCAACAGGAAAGTTATCTGGTGCAAGGCAGATGGACTTAAACCGTTTATTTTTGTTCTTAAACCAAACAAATGCAGGGAGAAGGGGAATGATGGAAGCAATGAGAGGAGGGGTAGGATTAAGTGCAGAGGAGCACATGTGGGAAAGGAATCCTACTGGTTGGAGTGGATTTGCTAGGAAAGAGGAAGAAGTTTGCTGTGTCTTTGGAAAAGTTACAGGGCTTTGTGACTTACTCCAGCTGTTCTGCTTTGTGCTCACCCATGTGGCTTGATTATATGCATCCCATTGGGAAATCAGTGGGACTCAGTAACCTGGGGGAAAAATTAGGGGATCTTTTTAGCTGCAGTGCAGGACAGATCCCAGATCCTGACTGTATGCTTCCAGGACAGATCTCTGTCCTTTCCTAACCTTGAGCAAGAGGTGTACTTTATTACATCAGAGAGATGCTGCCTGAAGCCCCAGCACATGCGAAGATAGGTTGTGGAACTGCTGTGGTATGTACTTAAGGCAGTCTGAAGAGAAATGCTCTGACATAACACCCATACTTCTTTTGATGAAATGTTAATTGTTACCTGTTAAGGTGTTTTGGATGAGCTTGGTAACAGGATAACTTGGTAGAGAAGATTGAGAAGATGCAAAGACACTATTTTGGATAGGAGAGTGGGGAGAACGAAGGGACTGTTTTGGATGAGCTTGGTAACAGGATAACTTGGTAGAGAAGATTGAGAAGATGCAAAGACACTGTTTGGGATGGGAGAGTGGGGAGAACGAAGGGACTGTCCCTTTTTGTGACAACAAGCTGCTAAGCTGCCTTAGCTGAAGTATCAGTAAGGCTTTAGTTAGGTTAGGAAATGAATTTTCTGTCTCCAGACTGCTAAACTTGATTCTGGGTACAGTGAAATGAAGAATGTGCTTGCTTTCACACTGACATTTCTGCTCAGAGATTTGAAGGTTATTGTTACATCTCAGTTGTCTTTTAATTTTTTTTAAATTTTTGTTTAAACTTTCTACATAGTATGAATCTGCAGTGCTGTACACCTTTTAATTGTGACTGATGTTAAATGTTTTGAAACATTGTGAAAATGCTCAAATTGATATGCCTTCTGAAAGGAATGAGATGTTTAGCGAGAAATGATAGTTGCTGTTTCAACCCTCCTGCCTAACTCGGTTTTGGCATCTCATAACTGAACATAATGGGAAGAAAGCTCATTAATGTGGCCTGCATTCTGAACAGTATGGTGCATCAGATGTAACACACAGTTTGACCTCTCCCTACAGGGGTTCCATGCGGATTGGGAAGGATTTTATCCTGTTCACAAAGAAAGATAACACCATGACTTGCCTCCTTTTATCACGGACGTTCCATGAGGAAGAAGGCATTGACGAGGTTTGCATGTGCTTCTTGTAATGAACTAATATAGTGAATGCTGCCTCATCTGAACTTGCCCAGCTCTCACAGAAGAGTCTGTGTCAGGGCTGTTTGTGACTCTGGTGGGATCAGTGTAAGGCTTTCTTTTGGTATTATGCTGTAGGGCTTCTGCAAAGTCAACAATTTTTTTTTCCTTTTTGTTTTAATTCTAATTCAGAAGTCTCTCTAGAGTAGAGCAAGTTTGGAGGGCTTATTTCAGTCACTTAAAGGTGTGCTTATGCTAAGTTCAGGACATGCCCAGACATGTTGCATTTTCCTTTTCCCACAAAATTTGAGTTTGAAATGTATTTAATTTTACTGTGCTGATTTGATTTTGTGTAGAGAATTAAAAGTGTTTAATGAAAAAGTGAAGTTGCTACCCACGGGTCATTAACTGCAGGTGTGTCTTCTTACAGATATTTTTGATTTTTAATAAAAAGTCAGTGTAGTTCTACCTATGAAAAACTTGCATATTTTAATAGATAACTCAGGCATTGTTGTTCCAGGAAGGGTTGATAATTTAAATTTGCACTGGGATGGCATCTCAGAAAGCATCTTGTAGTATGAGGGAGGGATTGAAGGGACCTGTGCAGATAAGCTGGGGAGGGGCAGTGCATGCTGGTAGCCAGCCCATGACTGAAGCAGATTGGGAAGAGTAAAGTAAGTCTAATTGCCCCAGCAGCTTTGGCTAATTTTTTGGCTTGACCACAATTCTAGAATGGGATTTGTGTCATTGATGTGCAGCTGCAGTTTATAATTCTGTCTATATTTTTACTCTAAATGGGAGAAACCACCTTGCTAGCATCCTTTAAAAAAATCAAAGACTGAGATCAGGATAAATATGAGTGAAGGATATCCGAATTCAAGAGAGGAATTAAGCCAAAGTGGATTTTTTAGTATTATGAAAATTGCTACATGAAAAGGGCAACAAAAGCCATTGAGTGTGTGAGTAGCCAGTACTAATGTGACTTGGGAATGGTTCACTCTGAGACTGGTATTTTAAGAAGGCAACTCAGAGGCTGGCAGAGAGGGTCTGTGAGCATTTGACAGACATGCGAACTACTGAAGAGCTGGAAAGGGCTCTCATGGTGACTTAGGGGGCTGTCAGGAGGGGTAAGTCACTGGACCATGACCTGCAGGAGGGGCTGACTGGAGTGGGAGAGCCTGAGTCACTCTCAATACAATGGGATTTGCAGGTCATTGTTCCCCTACCCACCTGGAACGCACGGAGCCGTGAACCCGTGACGGACAACATGGAGAAATTTGCTATCGAGACAGAGCTCATTTACAAGTATTCCCCTTTCAAATCAGAACGGGAAGTGATGGACCAGTTCAATAAGATACGTGGTGAGAAAGGTACATGCGGATGGTGCAGGTCACAAGTGAGGTATTTGGGGTTTGGTTGGGATTCACCTGGCTGACTTGTTACTTGCTCAGGCACCCTGGTGATCATCTTTAACCTCAAACTAATGGATAATGGAGAGCCAGAGCTGGATGTGACTTCTGACCCTCAAGATATTCAGATGGCAGAAACACCCCCAGAGGGAACGTAAGTGTGACTGGTGTAACAGGCCCTGATCAAATTTGGTGTAGGGTATGGCTATATACTGTGTGCATGGATTTTTTTTTAAATTCTCTTTTTGTAGTGAATTAGAGAATTTAAAAGATCTGTACTTTGTTCTTAAGTATTTTGGGGTTCATGTGTGTGTCAGCCCATGGGTGTTGTGGCTGTGTTTGGGGTGAATGCCTGCAATGGCTGATCTCAGCTTAGCCATTAGCTAAGAAGACTCACTGTCCTTTAGGCACCATAAAAAAGGAGCCTTAATTTTCTATACCTATCAAAGATGCTTTCATCAGAATGCTCCCAAATTGCTGTTCAGTTTTGTGGCAAAACATGAGGTGCTGCGCAGGTCAGCCTCTGTAGGTGGATAATATGGAAGGCAGGTGGGGTGTATCATCACATCTGTCAGGGAGCAGGGAGCACTTCTTCCTGCAGAGGGGCAAGAAGGATGTGCTCAGAGGGCAGCTGGAAGAGCACAGGCTCCTGTTTAGAGAGAGCTGAATGTTTGCTGAGTTGATCACCTGTAGCCTGAAAACAAAAAACTGAGCTGAAATGAGCCGAATATCCCAGAGCTCCGTGGGCACACCTAGCAAGCTTTACCTTTTTGATGAGATTACATGCTCTTTCCCTGCAGTAGTTGAATTTTCCATAGGAAGTTTCAGACCCTGTAAAGCAGCTCTATGTATTAGAGTGATGTTACTGAGCAAATTCCTTGGGGCCCTCCAAGGGATCTCAGTATCTTTAATGCCTGTTTGTAAGGCAAGCATGATTTCCACTGATCACTGCCTCTTCTTTCGGATGTTGTGGTACCATGTGTGTCAGTGAGTAGTGCAGGTTCTGTGGCAGTATACCACTGACTCACTGAAGGATGGAAACGCTTTGGTAGGTGGACATCCTTTTAGTGTTAAATAGTCCAGTTTATAGATTTGTCCATTATTATCCAGATGTATTCAAACTCCCTCTTCAGGTTGCAGTAACATGAGTATCAGTGTCTTGTAGCAGTAGTTGTGATGTACAGTTCAACAAAGAGTCTGGAGAAGACATAAGTAGAAAAAATGTTAAAGAAAAGCTTTACTTAATGTAGCTTCATGGTAATTAAAACAGAGAGACCTTTTCTTTCATCTGTCTGTTTTGCTAAGGGTATCTCTTGGGCATATTCTGAAGTAGATGGCTCTCTTTCAGCAAGCCGGAGCGCCGCTCCTTCCGTGCCTATGCTGCTGTGCTTTACATTGATCCCAGGATGAGGATCTTCATCAATGGACACAAAGTACAAACCAAACGACTCTCATGCTGCCTCTACAAGCCAAGGTAAGTGTTGGATCCAAGATCTGTGGGTGTGTGGGACCATTTGGAGTTAGAGAAAATATGTAGTGTTTTGCTCTCCAGGTGTATCCTGCATAATTCCATTCCTAACCTTAACGCCACAGAATCAGACGATAAGAGAATGGCGTGTGCTGTTGACATAATGGGAAGAAAGATACATATTGGAAAAATCAAATGCCTTTGAAAATTGCATGAGTCATTGGTGCAATTTGGCTCCCTTTCAGAGCAAACAAAGAAATTAAGATCCTTGTTGTATGTAATGCCATATTCACACAAAACTGTTGGGTAACTATGTTGTTGTTTTTGAGCAGAAGAAGGAAATGCATATGGTGGGTGTTAAGATTATTTCCAAAAAGAAGCTAGACTGAGTGCTTTGAAACAGTTGCTTTTATATGTAGCTAATCCAGGTTTGAATAGAGTTTGAGAAAAAGCTTTCCCTATATTCCTTTTAGATTTTCTTAAACAAAAAATGTGACAGTGAGCTGGGGTGTGCTGTCAGTTCGCAGAATAGAGACTGGAAAAGGTTACGGGGATGGGATGGGAAAGGGAAACCTGTATTTCAGTCTGCTTGAGGCAGACTCTCTCTGGGAGCACACAGTCTGCATTCTACATACCCTGGCAAAATTTATTTGAATCAAATAGTAATAATTTTGTAGAGTATTTGTGGTTTTTTTAGTATAGCATTTTGGGCTCATTCTCAGCCTACTAGGCACTGTTAGCAGCCATAGGCCAATGTTACACCATTGTTAGTGCCTGAAGAGCCTGGCTGGTTTTTAACTTAGGCTTCCTCAGCTCCTTACATGAGATTGTGTGAAATGGTATCAGAAACCTGACCAAAAGAAAAGTATTACACCCACTGCTCCTCATGCTGGCCAGGCCAGTTGTTCCCCTGTGGAAGGCAGGGAACTTGCCACTGTAAATCCTGATTTACTGGGTAGAGAATCTCTGGATTTCTGTATTTTTGACTATGTTTTATCTACATGGGAGGGCCTTGTGCTGCTTCTGCTTGTGCTGTAGTCCATCAGAAGTACTAGGGAGGGAAACCAGGGGAGGACACAGATTTTTATCTCATCAGAGACAAGCTTCTTGTGAGACTCATAAACAAGATGCCATCATTGTGAGTGATGCTGCCTAGCATCATGACAATATTAGGTGTCCCAGGTCACCCCAGATGTTCATCTACCTCAGTGTCTTCTTCAAGTGGTCAGTAGTCTATTCTAAGGAGCCCCAAGCTGATGTGTGCTGATGCCAAGTGTATCTCACAGATCTGCTTGTGCCACATCTGAGCAGACTCCTGTAGATCTGCTTAGAGTGATAGGCCAATGCAAATTCCTGAACATTGTAAAGACATCTACATTTAAAATCCCCATTCCTGCAACAGATCAGTAAAGACTGCAACGCCTTCCTGCAGAGCACAGTGTAAATCTTCTCAGTCTTGTGGCAATTATTGTGGCTTTTTTGGGCCTCTCTGGAGAGTGTCCAGACTCCTCCCTTCTGTCTGGACTTCCCAATGCTGGCTTTGGGTACTAGAAGAAGGACAAGCCATCAAAGCCTTTACTGTGGGTTCTGAGAGCCAGCACTGTTCTTGGGGTAGATGCCGTGCTGTGCCCTTGGCAGGTTGAAGAAGTTGTCTTTTTCGTCAGGAGAGCTCAAATCTGCCTTGGGTGGTTCTTTCTAAAGGGAAAACCAGTAAATCAGTCCATTCTGAAAGTGGTTACTTTGCTTTTACTACCATAGCTGTAGGGTTTTTTTACATTTCTCTCCCTGAACCTGCTGAAAAGGGTCACTTATGCCCTCACTTTCCCTTTAGAGCTGAAGCCAGAGCTCACCATCCTCATTTATCTACTAGGCTTTGAGTGCTCTGCAGGTTAATACTGGGTTAATCCCTTGCATTTGTGCCAGCACTGTTTTGTCTGTGAGTGCATGGGGGAAGGGACCTCCATTATGGTGCTCCTTTGGGGTCAGCTGATGTAGCAGTGATGCTCAGCTCTTCAGCATTGGCTGTGCTTCTGGCCCAGTAGCCTGGGCCAGGTAAATGCTGAACCTTCCTGGTCAAGCAAAGGGATGGGGAGCAGACAGTGGAGGTGCTGCTGCCTTACAGCCTGAGTAGCCGGTGTGCTTGTCTGAGACATCTGAAGGGCTCTTTTCTATCAGAGGGGGCTCCTTCCTGCTGTCCGTCAGGTTGTCTTTATCTCTGAGGGAAAAGGCTGTACAATGGCTTGTCTGTAGGTTCTGGTGTTGGTGTTAGGGGACAATGTATGGAAATCCACTGTGGATTTAGGGTATGTAAGTGCCTTTACTGAAAAAAAGATTTTGCAGCCCTTGCACTGTTTTTCAGGAATAGCACTGCATCACCTGAGCAGGACACTAGTTTTCTGTTTGTCACCACCCATGTTTCTGTGGGAGAGCCTTCCCCTCATCTTTCTGGAGCTGATAATGTTGTGGTGGCAGAGGCTGGATGGTTTTGTGTGGATTCTTCACCAGCCTTTGTGGTTGTGTTACCACATTCCCAGCTTCCCTGGGAGTGGCCTGTGTCTCCTGAAGGATTGCTTCCATCTCTTCCCCAGTACCTGTTGGACCTTGTTTAGCAGTATGGGCTGTGCAGGTAGAAATAGCCAGGCCACATGTAAGGCTTGTGCTTCCATGAGGGCACTCCAAGGCAGTTGGAATGAGAGTCTTGAAGGTCATGATGGTTCACGGTACCATCATCTAGGACACCCAACAGCTGCTTACAGTGCTCCCTACAGCAAAGGAGTGCTGTCGCTACGGTCCCGCCAAGTGCTGCCCTGCCTGCTGAGCTGGGCATGGGGGGATAATTCAGCTTCACCTGCTTCTCTGTCTTTTTATTTTTGCCTTAGAAGTCAGGCAGGTGTGGGTGAAGTAGTGTAGTTATGCCAACATGTTGAAAGCAGCCTGGCTTTCAAAGTGTGCTGTCTCCCGGCCCCAGATAGCTTTCATCAACCTTACATAGGTTAGAGATGATGCCACCAAAATCCTGACTCTTTAGCTCCTGACATGATGAAATCACCAACTGTGATTTCCGGAAGTCTTAGCACTCACCTGCTTTTTCCCCAGGGAGGAAATCCTTACAAATACCAGAAGATGAGTTTAGCAAAATGTATTTCCGGGAACTGTGCTTGTGGTATTAATTTTTTAGATTTGGGATCAAGGGATTCCTGTTGGTGAGACTATGTCTGATGTCAGTACCGTGTGTGCTCACCCACAGAAACAAACCTAAACAAAGCTTTTCATAAATACAAGGTTGTTTCTTGTGAATCCTGACAGTTTATCTGCCATCTGGGGGGAATTTTGTCGCTTATTAGGGTCTAAGTGTGATTCCAATCAATTAGCCAGTCAAGTGTTACATCCCCATGTGTTTTTGCCTCTCTGTAAAAACAGCATTTTTAATGGCTTTTGTTTAGCTAAATACTGAAAAAGTTAATCCCATCCATTTGGGATGGGATTTTCCTCTCTTGGTATATCCAAAACCTCATGTCTTAAGATGATCTGAGTTCCTGCAGGCTCTGCTTGTCCTAGGTGTCATTTTTCCTTGTGATGTGCTTGGAGGTGATACACACTGATGAGCTTCTGCCTCACAAACACCAGTCTCTCACTCTGCAGCAGTCAGTGAATTTGGATCTGTATTTGGCATGTTAGCATACAGGGAAGGTGAAACAAGCTGCTCCATCTCCAGCACAATTTACAAGGTTGTGAGTCAGAAACAAAACATACAGAAGTGTCTTGAAGTTCTGATCAAATTGTTGTTCTGCTTTGAGATAGCAGAACAACAACTGTGTGGGATGGCCCTGTCAGACTGCACCTGTGGACAGCTGTTTACAGGAAAGGTTATTTAGCTGTGGTAGGAGGGTTTCGAGAAGCTTTCCATATATATTCACTCCTCCTTTTTACTTCTGAAGAAATTATTTCTCTAAGTCTTGATATTTGCTACAAGAATTTGGATATATTTCACCACCACTTCTTAATGCAGAAGAAGAGAGTATATTGTGGTTGGAGCTACTACTAAAACATCGCTGACTTGAAAATATTTTGCTTAGCTTCATCCAAAAACGTCCAGTTGATGATATGTAAACCTCCTCCATTTATTGAATCTGTTGGGAGGAGTGGAGTAGCATGTGGGGACCTTGTTCTCTCATGCAGTGATGAAATTTTAGTTTGACCTTATTGCTGAATTTGCTGATTAATAAATTTTGATCATCACAGGATGTACAAATACACTTCAAACCGTTTCAAGACCCGTGCAGAGCAAGAGGTGAAGAAAGCAGAGCACATGGCGAGGATAGGTAAGTCATCAGGGTACACTTTCATTTGTTACTAAGGGGAAGACTAAACCCTTGATTGGTGTGACCTGGGGTTGGCTGCTTCTGGGATCACTGGAATTGCTCAGGAACTGAATTATTGCAGCAACTGCAGATGACACAGACTTATGTTCATGCAATGGAAGGAATGTACATTGTTCCCAGAGACCATTTCATCTGAGTAGCAGATGTACAGGATAACTCTTGGAGTCCCAGCAGTTTGCCCCCACTCCAGCAGAAGCCTGGCTGACCCCTGTCATCCTGCAGTTCTTCTCTCACCTTTAAGATATTATGAGCTTTTGGTTGTGTTTTCATTTTGCACCTTTCCTGTTAAGGCAGTTAAAAAGTAGATTTTTATTCTGTCACTTAATGTAAAAAGGAATTGGTCTGGGTATAAAAGGGAGCCCTAGTTTGTTTGGTTTTAACCCTTCTAGGCATACTTTTTGCCCATCTAATCTTCCTTTCCTGTTAAGTCCTGTAATCCTCAGGGAAAACTTAGTTTGTAATAATTGGATATTCAGCATATAGCAATCACACAAGCATATAAATACAGCATTAAACTGTATTATAACTGCATTAGATGTCCAGAAATTTAATACAAAAAGCAGCGTCCCTCCCTAACCCTTGATGCAAAAACACCATAGTGAAGGCAGAATCTTGAAGTTGTAAGTGATTTATGACCTGTATCTTCTGATAGGTTTCATAAATCAACTACATAAATCACTTGGAGGCATGTGTCCTCTGTGCCTGTATCAGAGCTGCTTTGGGCATGTCTGTGTGTGGCTGCAGGTCATATATACAAGGGATGGTGCTGCATTCAGCCTGTACAGCATCACAGAGAGCAGTGTGATTGTGACCTTGCCCCAGAGAAAAGGAGCAGAGTGAAATGATGTGAATTGCCATGCTCTCTGTTCCTCCTTTAGGAAGTACAGCCTGGCAAGATAGACTTGGTAAGATGAAGCTTAAGCAGATTTTGTTGTGTGCCTCAATCCTCATAGGTGAATTTATTTTTACATTGAGCCCTATAGCTAGGGCAGGTCTTGAGCACACACTCCCACTGCTTTTCAAGAAGATGCAAAGAGCAGGATTTAGAGAAGCTTCTCCCCTGAAGCAGTCTGTGAGGCTTTAATGATACTTAATAGTGGAGCTTAGTGTATGGCACTGAAAAATGGTGTCCATTGTTGTCCCAGTGCTGAGAACAGGTCCCATTGGCCATAAAATGACACATATTTCCATCACCAAACCAGCCTGGTGCCTTTGGGTGTGCAGGGATCACTGAACCTGCAGTGTGCCCAGGGCAATGGCATCCTGGCCTGTGCTAGAAATAGTGTGGCCAGTAGGACCAGGGAAGTGATTCTTCCCCCTCCTGCCTAGTACTCAGGACTGGTGAGGCCAGACCTCAAGTACTGTGTCCAGTTCTGGGCCCCTCATTTCAAAAAGGACATTGAGGTGTTAAGAGTGAGTCCAGAGAAGGGCAACGGAGCTGATGAAGGGTCTGGAGTGCGTGTCCTGTGAGGAGAGCTGGGGTGGTTTAGCTTAGAGAGAAGGAGGCTCAGGTAAAACTACCTGAAAGGAGGCTGTAGCCAGGTGGGGGTAGGTCTCTGCTCCCAGGCAAGTAGTCACAGGATGAAAAGACATAGTCTAAAGGTGCGACAAGAGAGGTTTAAGTTGGACATTAGGATTAATTTCTTCACAGAAGGGATCATTAGATATTGGAATGGACTGCCCAGAAAGGTGGTGGAGTCACCATCCCTGGAGGTCTTTAAGGAAGGACTGCATGTGGCACTTAGTGCTGTGGTCCAGTTGACATAATGGTGTTGGTTACAGGTTGAACTCCATGATCTCAGAGGTCTTTTCCAACCTAATTGATTCTGTGAACTGTCCCCGTGCTTTTGGTGTGCAGGGATCACCAACCCAGCCCAGTGCTTCAGGGAGTGCAGGGATCACTGAATGGGCCTGGTGTTTCTGGGGGAAAGAGGGTGCTGAGCAAAGGGCTTAGGACACTGTGGTGAAAACTCCCAGCTGACCTCAGACTATTACTGCAAGATTGGAGCATACATGTAGCCTCACATGGAGCCTCCAGGACTAAAACATGCTCAGGGTATTATCCTCTGAGGCCTACGTCTCATTGCTTTACTTGTAGAAAAATAGATTTAATCTGTAGCACCAAGCTTTCTTGTTCTGCTACTGGTAGAAATGATTACTTTCTCATGGTCTCCAGTACTCCAGAGGGATCATCACTCAGGAATGATTTGCAGTTTGCTCTTTTAAACCCAGGAGTACATTGTGACAAACGGTGGGTCTCAGTTGAGCAAACAGCAGTTCCAGAATGCCAGAGATATCTGCCTACAAGGAATGTGTTGGCATCAGTCAGACTGAGAGATTGCTGAGTCTCTGGAAGTAGCTTATGAGCTTGTGGAATTAAAACAGTATAACCAAAACTAGCTGGGTGGGGAAGATGTATGAGCAGCAGTGACTATTGGTGGCATGGCTTTAGCATATCTAAAAAGAGCTATGGCTCAGGAGTGAAGACATATATATATTTAAGATGAGGAAAAGCCACTTTTCATTCCACAGGAACTAACTTCCTGCCTCATGCAATAAGCTTCCTAAGTGAGTGGGTGGACCTAGGAGAAAAGTACCATTCCTGGGCAAGGTGGCTGTGAAAGACCATCACCTGCTTTCTGTGTTCTTCTGAACTGAGACTGAGTACTGCACTGAGGCACCTTGGCATTGCTTTGCCTCACTTCTGGAAATCCCTTTCCAAAGTTGGGAAGGCAAACAAATGGAAGGGGTGAGGAGTCATGCAGGTGTCAAGTACTGGAAGCTAACAGCTCTGTGCTGCTCTAGGTATTATTTCAGCTTATTTTGGTGTGTCCAGTGACGTGCTTGGCAGTGCCATGGGTACACCATGCCTGCTGTCCCCTGGGAGGATGTGAATATGGGTTCCAGTTGCTGCGTGCTCACTGTCCTGCATAGGACACGCATCTTTATGCCTTGGGGCCTCAGCCCTGTAACTGTATCGGTCCCTGTCAGCTGTCTCAGTTGTCACTGCGTTAGTGGAGCAGGTTTGACCTGTGCCCTTCTGGGTTACCACTGTGTTTTTTCCATTAGCTGCAAATATGTTTAGCCCACCAACAACTTCCCTATAAGCTCTGATTAAGTGGACCAAGTGCTTTAAGCAGCCTCCAGCCTCCTGTTGGCTTGATTTAGCCAGACTGTCTCGTGATGAGGGCTAGTTACACAGCACAGTCTTTGATAAGCAGCTGTGAACCCCAGAGCATGCTGCTGTGGGAATGTGGCAAACAAAACTCCCAATGGGACAATGCGTAGAAAGGAAAAGAGATTTGTGTTGTAGTCGTCTGAGTGAACTGACTGGCTACAGACTCCAGTTTCCTTCTGGCTGGCAACCAGAGTGCTGCTTTTTGGAGAGATACTGGTAATCCCTAGGAGCCAATTGCTATCCTGTCATCTTCTTGCTTACCTCATCCTATGTAAATCTTAGGCAAGGTCGTACCTCCACTGGTGTGTTTCCTTGTTTTGAGTGTCTCACAGCCACAGTTTATCTCCCTATGAAGAGAGCAAGGAGGGAAATGGCTTCTGGGTGTGCTGTAACGATGCTGCTGCACTCCCACTTGTGGGGGTGCAGGCATTGTTTGCCATGGCATGAGCTACGCCATCCCTCAGCATGTACCCTTTGTATTGCCAAATTACAGAATCACAGGATGATTTGTATTGGAGGGGATCTTAAAGCTCATTTTGTCTAAAGTCTCCCTGAAGCCTTCTCCAGGCTGAATACCCCCAGCTCTCCCAGCCTGTCTCCAGAGCAGAGGTGCTGCAGCCCTTGGAGCATCTCCTTGGCCTCCTCTAGATGCTCTCCAGCAGCTCCAGCTCCTTTCTGTGCTGAACCCCAGGGCTAGAGGCAGCTCTGCAAGTGGGTTCTCACCTGGACGGGGCACAGGGGCAGAATCTCCCCCTCCCTTGCTGCACATGCTGTAGGATCAGCTCAGGTCATGGAAAGTTTCTGGGGGCCAGAGCAAACAGCTGGAAAAGGTCCAACTCTCATGCACCAGCACCCCCAGTTCCTTGTTACTCAGGACTGCTCTCAGTCCATTATATCCTTGCAGAGAATGAGGTTTATTGAATGACTCTTAAGTAACACAAGGGTGGTATGTGCCTATTGTCAGCATTCCTGTTTGCCTAGGAGAGAGGCAAAAAGGGGAGTTCCTTTTACATGGTAAGTTTCTTGCATGTGAGATCATATGCAGGGTAGGTTTTCCGAATGCTGGGTCCTATGTAACATGTAGCACAGATTTGTCTTTTTTCCAGGCAAAATTTAGCAATTATTAGAGATAAAAGCATTTCTGAGGGTTGTCCTTTCCCTTAATCTTTGCAAGAAAATTGCCTCTTTGGAAGTCCTTTTCAAGCCTGAACTTAGTCTTGGTTTTGTGAGAACCTTTCTCTGAATCACATTACCAAGCAGAGCAGGCAGGGCCATAGGAATCCTTAGACTTTGCAGTTCCTTGTTGTCTTCCTCACAGATCCTTCCTTCAAATGTGCTTTTGCACAGTTTATCCCTGCTATTGTGCCAGTGTTGATTGTGACCTCTGAGCATGTTTAAGATGCCATGTCAGTGGGACCCTCTCATGTAAGGTTTGATTTTTATACATTTTCGTGTTTCCTTTGTACCTTTGTACACATCAGTGCAGCAAAGGCTCTCTGGAATTGCTCTCTTTGGGTGAATGCCTAACGATGTCTGTCTGTACCAAATGGCTGACAGCATCCTTGTGCCTGTATGTTTCAGCGGAAGAGAAGGCTCGTGAGGCGGAGAGCAAAGCCCGTGCCCTCGAGCTACGCCTCGGAGGGGATCTCACGCGGGAGTCCAGGGTGAGCCTTGTGTTTTTGGCAGCATGTTGTGTTTTGGGCACCAAGGGATGTTCAAAGCAGTGGAGTGATGCTGACTGGGCAGCACCCCATGGCAGCATGTCGTGTGCTGATTAAGCACATGGTGGCTACAGTCAGCAGTGAACTTCCAGCATCATTTAGGCATCTCCATGGCTTCATTGCCACTGGATATGTTTCACCATCTTCACGTGGTGTGCAGCCCAAGTGAGAAGTGTGCTGGCATTCCCCTGCCTACACACCCAATATATCCTGCATGGGAAGGTGACCTTCAGATTCCAGGTGCTGTTTGCTGACAGCCTCTGTTGTAAGTGGCCCAGGGAACAGAACTAGAGCTACGGGCTTTTTGGCTGTTCCCTGCTGCCTGTGCAGCTGTCTCTGTGGCATTTGGGCAGGGGCTTTTGGAGAGGGCTTCTTTGCTTCCTTCAAGTGGGACTGTGGCTTTGAGGGGCAAGGCTGAGCCCTGGCACCAGGAGTTGGGAGGAGGGCTGGCAGGGACACCAGAAAGGTCAGCAAGTAACACCAGTTTAATATCACTGAGCTTCCTGTTGGTATGTAATGGAAACAGTAGTATCCAAGTGCCCTGGATGTCTCCTTGTGCTCCAGTGGCACTGTTTTCAATTTCCTTAATCCTGTTTTTACATGTAGACATTTTCCTCCAAGCAGCTGTATAGCTGCTTAAACAACTTAGCATAAGTTTGCCCTACCTGTGGAGTCACACTGGTTGTACCTGTCTACCAGTTGTGACTTCTTTACATTTAAAACATTTCTCAGCTCTTCCTGAAAGAGCAGAAAATCATAAATTGAGTGAATTTTATGGATTTCCCAGCTTGACTATGCAGTGCTTGACTTTGCAGGTGACATTGCGTCAGGTCCAGAACTCGGCCATCACCATGCGGCGGGAGGCTGATGTCAAGAAAAGGATTAAGGATGCAAAGCAGCGGTGAGTGCAGGGGCTTCCAAACTCTGGAGTGCCTAGGCTGTTTGCTCCAGGTGCTCATATAGCTCTCCTGTTTTGCATGTATTTTCGGTTCACCTCAAAGGTTAAATATCCATGGGCGTCTTATGTGCCTGGGTTGTTAAACTGAGCAGCTGGCGCACTATGCTGGTTACCTCTCTGTGTCCCTGCATTCATCACTGGTGATCAGAAGCAGTTCAGAGGATTATGCTTTTCCACAGCATTGTACTTCATTCAGAAAACAAACAAAAAAAAATCCTGAAAGATGTGTATAATAGGATGGCTTCTGTACTAACCAATCCCTGCTGTCTTTTGGAAAATTCTTGAGTTACAGAGGATGTCCTAGGACAGTTTTTTGCTGTTTCCCTGATCTGGGTGCATCAATGAAAGAACTGCTTTCTGGTTTCCAAAGGCTGTGTAAGATCAGGTTGGATCTGAATCCAGACAGTAGGACAGCTACTAAATTTCCCATAATTAAATCCCTGACTTTTGACCCACCACTTCATTTTCCATGGTTTAGATGATAATTTTACTTCCTGTCCCCTCTGATAAAAAATGAGGAGATGTCCTTTTTGTTTTGTAGGTGAGTACATGCTATTTCTTGAAGTATAAGGCTCTACATTCTTTTCCAGAAGTTAGTAAAAGAAAATTAATCCCTGAGATGGATGTTTTGCCACACTTGCTCATGCTCTTGAATCATGGTTTTCTACCTCAGTGAGCTGAGACCAAAGAGTCACATTCCAGCCCAGCAGTTGACAGTGTTCAAAACCCCTCTTGGCAAAGGTTGAGATTTGAAATTACTGAACGCTTCTATTTCAGTTGTTTTCCTAGGAATGTACTACAGTCACCTGTTTTAAATGAAGTTGTGTCACAGGGTACCATTGCATCTTTGTGGGGGATGATGGCCTTAAACAAAAAATTAGTATGAATTTTATTTAATTTTGGGGTTTTTTTGAAAAGTTTCACTATTAAGACAGACTCAGATCTCATATCTGCAGGTGATCATTGTGTAGGTTCATGTGTGCATGGTTCAGGTCTTCCTAATATTTTATATTAGTAGACAGTCAACAGAACATTTTAAAGAATTCCACTATCTTCAGCTAACCATTTAAGCAGAAGTCAAATTCCTCATTAAGATAAGCTACATAACTGCAAAGGATTTGATGGGGGCAGGGGGAATATAAAGCAGGTCAAAATTGAGAGGGTTGGGCAGGACCATGGTATAGGCTCTGCCTTGCAGTAGTTTGGACCTCATATTTGAGGATACCTTCATCCTGAGGCTGAGAATCCTTACAAAAAATCCTTAGCACAGCTATCAGGGAAGCTGTGGAACCTCATTAATTTAGTATGTTGAAGGGCAGGACTTGTTTGTGAGACACAGGGAGTTTGATTTATGGTACAAAGAGATCAAAATCTCAAGGCTTTTGGCCTTAATGGAAATAGAATTCCTGGTAACCAAAGGTTCAGATTGAGAAATCTGTATGGTCTCACAAACATACTCGAGGCCAACTTTTGCTGGAGTCATCTGCTGCATAGATAAGGGAGAAATCATGCAAATTGATATCTTGACATTCCAGAAAAAAAGCTCTGCTTGGGCTGTATATTGTATCCTCCAGCTTTTGAACTTAAGGAGCAGCCTTGTGAAACTTGGAATTAGGAGAACTTTCTAGAATCATCATATCAAGACTGTACTTTTGTATTGAAGTCTGAATTTCCATGCTTTATCTAGAAAGGGATAGATAGCTGGAAAATACAAACCAACATAGCATGGGAAAGGACCAGTCTGGATTCAACAGTGCTCTCATAAAACTAATTCACTGAATAAAAACATCTGAAGTAAAAACCAGAATCTGTTCTGATGGAGAAAACATATTCAAATGAAAAAATATCTGTCCAGTCTAAATTAGTATTTGTATTGCAAAGTTTTTGTATTTTGTTCATACTCGGTTGTAATGCTCTTTCAGCAAATATTTTGTATTTTTCAGAAGTAGCAGTTTAATGCTCAAGGGTGCTGGATTTCCATGCCCTCTCTCTCTAAATCAGCAAATAGTATGCTTTATTTCCAGCATCCCTAGAGGCTCTGTTTTGTCCCCTACAGGGCACTGAAGGAGCCCAAGGAGCTGAATTTTATCTTTGGGGTGAACATTGAGCAGCGCGAGCTGGATGGCATGTTCATTTATAACTGCAGTCGGCTGATCAAGATGTATGAGAAGGTGGGCCCACAGCTGGAGGGTGGCATGTGAGTCCTGAAGATTTTTCTGCAATCTTTGCTTAAGCTTTACACATTTCTATATCTAACTTAGGCTGTGCAACAACTATGTTTTGCATTAATCATTCTTCATGAGCCTGAGGCCTGCTCATTTTGTCAGCCTTCAGTTTGCATTTTGACAAATAAGTTAAATTTAATACTGCCTCATATTTCCCTGGTTTCTTGATAGAGTGTTCTTTGCACAAATTTTAGTCATCCCTGCAGCAGTATGAAGTGCTTGGCATTTGGTGCTGATGAGTGCTAGTAGTACTAGTGCATCATTCTAGAGACTGGCAAAATAGGTCTTGACAGCAAGTACAAATATTTGAGCCCATCTTACATTTTGCATGACAGTTCAGGTTGCCAGCCTATCAGTTTAATCTGTGTTCCTCTGTGTCACTCTATGTTCCTCTTCCAGGGCATGTGGAGGAGTGGTAGGCGTGGTGGATGTGCCCTATTTGGTTCTGGAGCCAACCCATAATAAACAAGACTTTGCTGATGCCAAGGAGTATCGACACTTGCTGAAGGCCATGGGAGAGCATTTGGCTCAGTATTGGAAGGATGTTGCAATAGGTAATGAAGCTTCCCAATTAGCAGGGTCTGGAAGGAGAGATTTGGGTGGCTGGAGGTCAGCCAAAAGTGCAGATGGTGATTTTGTGATAATGGCTCCATATTGAGCAGGATGTGGTTTGTTTTCCAGCCCAGAGAGGTATCATCAAGTTCTGGGATGAATTTGGTTATTTATCAGCAAACTGGAACCAGCCTCCGTCTAGTGAACTGCGCTACAAGCGCAGGAGAGCCATGGAGATCCCCACCACAATTCAGTGCGGTGCGTCTGATCCAACTGCTTCTCTCTGGGGAATGGGAGGGACACTCCTGGCTGCAGATGGGGACAGTTAAGTGCATAGGAGATTTGGGATGGACTATCATTATCCCTTCCTAGGGCCTGTCTTCTCTGCAGTTTGCCTTTGTCTGCACTCAGTGGTATTCTGTGACATCCTGGCATAAGGCTCCTTTCCTTCACAGTTCACGAACTGATCTTCACAACTGATCTTCTGACAGAGCAGGGCAGGTACGGCCAGTAGCAGTGTTGAGAGCAGGCTTAGAAATGTCAAATGAACTGGAACTCATCTATTCTAGCACCAGAATAAGATCTGAAACATCCTCACAGGCAATGGGAAGTGGCCAAGTCATTTGTACCCTGATGCACTGGCCTGCACTGTGTCAGCACAGAGGGAACCTTTTACAGTTACCGTGGAATTCAATGCAAGTTCTCTTCTGTTCACATCTAAACAGCTCTGGCTAAGCCCTTGTTAGAGTAATGGGAAGCTCCACACCATCACTTTGTCACCTGGCAGAGGGTCACCAAACTTCCTTATTTTCTCCCCCGTACTTGAGGATGTGGTTATAGGAAGGAATGTGAGGCCATTCTTGTGGAATTATTTGTTAGGCTCTTCTGCCTTGATGGTTGTCTCAGTCTTTTCAAGGTTCTTCTGAAGGAGGAGGGGCTTTGCTCTCCTTCTTGTCTTCCCTTGTTGATATTCTTCCAGAGCCTGATTTAAGGACATTTGGATTTTCTTGGCAGAACTTGATTTTGTGAAGCTGTTGGTTTCCTGGTAGGCTAGCAATATGCTGGAAGACAAATCTGTGTTCCTGGTTCATCAGAAATTTAATAGAATTTTTTTTAAGTGGGTGTGTCTGTGATTTGTGTTACTTTGGTATAATTGAGAGACAGCCTGGCTGCTGGGCTGAGCTATGATGTCTGGACTGGCTGTTCAATTCATTTTTTATGTCATAGTTGCAGCAGGAGTGTGAGGTCCTCTGGTGTTGGTTGGTGCCAGGCTTCATTGCATTTGAGGGTTTGTCTTTGAGGGTTTCATTCAAGTGTTTTGTGAGCACAAAGAAATAATTGACTCAATATATTCTGTGACTGTCTCACTTTTTTTTGGCCACTAGTCTTACTGTTGTTTGTGTGGTCCTTGGGCATTAAACGGGCTATGGGGAAAAATGATGTGTCTCAGGCTGTGTATTTCTGACTTGCAAAGCGTCTGTCTAACAGATGTCTGTCTCAAGTGGCGGACTCTCCCGTTCCAGCTGAGCTCAGTGGAGAAGAACTACCCTGATAGCTGGGTGTGCTCCATGAACCCTGATCCTGAACAAGACAGGTAAGAATCAGTTAATATTAAGACTTTTCTGCAAGGTGCTTTATCTGCACATTTGGAGCTTTTTCCTGGTAGTCTGTTCTTTGAAAACAGTTGGAGGGATTCCGTACCTTTAAGTTGTACTCACAGTCTGTGAAAAAGCAGCAATGGCAATTGTATAGGGACCTGAATGCTGAGGGGGCGTTTGCAATGTACAAATTGCAGAGGACATCCTCAGCAAGTGACAGGTAACACCAAACTGGGAGGAGCAGCTGACAAACCAGGCAGTCACAGATCCATCCAGAGGGACCTGCAGGTTGCAGAAATGAGCCAGCGGAAACCTATCCTGACATTCAACTAGGAAAATGCAAAGTCCTGTCCTTAGAGAGGACAGCCCCAGCACTGGTGTGTGCTGTCCATCCCAGACTGATCAGGCTCAGGGCATTCTCATCAATGTATAGAAACATATAAAGGCAGGCTGCAAAGAGGACAGAGCCTGGCTCTTCCCAGTGGTGCCCAATGGCAGGACCAGACACCAGGAGCACAAACTGGAATGCTGGAGTGTCCCTCTGTATTGGAGTGTACCAGTATTACTGCCGGGATTGCCTTGGTCTGTCTGGCCTCGGCTGCTGACCAAACAGCGGCACCTGTGGTCCTTCCTCCCCAGAGACGCTGTTCAGTACCTGTGGTCACAGCTGGGCACGTGGGGACAAGTCCGGGCACGCCCCGAGCTCCAGAGCTTGTGGGCTGGAGCTTGCTGCTGAGGGGGTCACTCCTCAGGCCTTCCTGAGCTGGAGAAACCTTTGAGGCGAGGTGAAGAAAGGAGGGGGTCCTGATGGAGATTTTTAATCCAGAGTTTTTACTTTGGTGGCACAGCCTCTGAATCTTGCAACAACTCCAATGAACTCTCCAACCGATCTCTCCACCAGGACCCCGACCGTGTGGTCTGCTTGCCCTTTTACCTGGGGAGAGGGGACCCAGGGACCACCAACGAGGAACAGGGGGAGGGGGTCTCTGGTGAGAGGGACACCTGGGTGGGCCAATGGCCCCCCAGGGGGTGGAGAGCATTCTTTGAACCTGCCAATCCCTCGATGCTCCTCTTGGAATTTCTGGGTTGATAGACAGTGCCCAGAAGAGGTCAAGGGTGGGGGAAGGAAGGGTGATTGACACCCCACCTGGGAAAGGAAATTTCAGGGAGAAACCAAGGGAACTGAGGCAAGCCATGATATCACACCACAACACCTCTGCGTATCAGAAACACTTTTTTTCCTATGAGGGTGACCAAATCTTGGCCCAGATTTCTCAGGGAGGTTGTACAGTCTCCATCCTTGGAGATATTCCAGGATGTGGTCCTGGGCTCCTGGTGCTGGGTGGCCTTGCCTGAGCAGGGTGGAATGAGGTAGACCCCAGATAGCTGCCTCTAGCCTATCAACCAAGTGATACGGTGAAATTTGAATAATTGGTTGTTTTTCTGCACTGACACCAGAAATACTATTATAGGTTTAGATTATATTAATTTTGCCATGGGCAGGATAGATGGCAGTTGGAGAACTGTCATGATGCAGGCTGGGAGATAGGTGACTTCAGGGGGCTTTGCAGTTGTCTTTATTGTTCCTACTGCTCCCACCCATCAGACACCAAACTGCAGCAATTCCACTTGGTTGGGATGAGCCCAGGAGGGGCATTTTGCATGCTTGAAGAAACAACACAATGGTTCACTTTTCAGTGACGTGTGTTACAGTCACAAAATGTAGGTAGAATCTAGTCATTTACTTGAGTGAGGAAAATGATTGCTCTAGGCTGCTTCTCTGTGGAAAGCAGCACTGCTGGAAGCCAGTTCTTGGCTGTATTGTGTAAGGAAGGAAAGCTGCTCCTCTGTAACTCAGGTCCCTTGGCTCAGGGCTTAAAGACAAAGGGGATGAATCCAGACAGTAACTTTTGATTGGAATAAAAAATTTAACATCTATGGCTGAAAATTTTGCTGAATATTGATGCCATTTCGAAGTATTGACTTTCTGGCTTCTTCCTTTTAGTACCTCTTAGTGGAAGAATACCTGTTTGCTCCATGTGTATGTAGAGCTCCTGCTGTAGAGCTCTGAGCAATGGCAGTGCTGAGGATGTTCCTGGACAAAATGCTGGGGCAGGGCTGAGCCTGCAACCTAAGGGGCTGGCACATCACCAGCCCTTCAGGTGGAAGGAGTAGCGAGGTTTGAAAGATGTTGCTTGTAGACACACACAAACACAGACAGCCCCACAGATAGCACAAGTGGGCACGTGCAATGCTCCCGCAGACCATACCAGCAGCTTCATCCTTTTCCCTCTTGACTCATCAGGATGAAGGACCACTAGTGGAAATACTCATGTCCATATCTGGCCTTCAGATCCCATGCCTCTGGTTACTTCCACTGGGATAGCTGGGCCTTGAGGCGTACAGTTCTGGGGGGAGGTGTACAGACCTTCTGTGGTTACACATAGCACACACATAACTCCAGACCTCCCAGTGTCTCACACTGGGGGATCTCTCTGTCTTGATTGGGTTGGGATCTTTGCACTTCCCCACATCCCTTCTGCCTAGAGACACCCACAGTTCCACCTACACCCTTATACCCATCTCCATCAGCCGGGAGACTCACCCATGTCTCCAGTGATCAGCTCCTGCGGGCCACCCTTAGATATCCCCTCCCCTGCTCCCAGGTAGCCTTCTGGTTAGCTCCTCTGGCCTGACATTCCTGTGGCTCATGTTCATTCACTTACCCGTAGTCACAGCAGCTGGTGGCACTCAGGCACATGAGTCACTGGGACCGATGGTCCCGCTCCAGCTGCTGGCACGGACCCCAGTACACAGGTGCGCATGCGGAACAGAGGCCCTCGTCTAGGACAGGGGGAGACATGGAGGTTAATACACAGAGGTGTACTGACCAGCCAAAGGTTTATGTACAACTGCCCCTTTTTATAGTGTATTTTTCCCATATTTGTTCTTCCCAAATAATCTCAGTCCTTTCCTTGCTTTTGGTTCCTTGTGTTGGTCCAAAAGATGTTTCAGAGAGTTGCCCACATTGACCAGACACCGGGGCTGAAGCAGCCGTAGGACAGTCTTGGCAGGACCCCAAAAGGGGTTTCTGTTCCTCTGAACAGATTTGCATTCCACCATTCTCAAAAAGCCCAGTTCACATCCCCTGAGCTGCCTTTGGGCCTCTGGGCTTGTGGAAATGGACCCTAGATGGGCTGATAGCTTCTGGGATGGCAATTCCTGTGATGGCCTGAGTGTAGCCATGGAAGGGTGTCATTCAGGTCTCCTCACTTGCCATTATATTTGTGCACTTTTCTCTGCAAATGGGGTCTTTATTGTATCTCCTACCAGGAACTTGATTTACTGATGAAAGAATTTAGATTTTTAATTTGCAATACCTTGAAAATTGGGGGTGGGTGGCTGCTTTTCATGTGAGAACTTGTTGAGGTGTTGTCTGGAGTGGGTCCGAGTACCTCCGCAGTGCATGCTGTACCATCCTACATCCCCCATGCAGGAAGCTGAGAAAGGGCAGGTGGGGCACTTGGCATTGGTGAGCCAAACTTCTGGTCATTTTAGCTTTGAAAGGGATCTCAGGAGTCTTACTCTGGGAGAATAAATAACTCCAGGACATTTTTTGATTAAGTAGGCTTACGTGTGCTTTCCAGCAGTGAGTGCAGTTGTGTCCTTTACATGGAGCAGAAGTTTCTCCAGCACTCCTCTGACTTTTGGCTGGGGCAAATTCCAAGTGCTGCACTGTTGGATCCTTGTGCAGATTTTGGACGCCTTCATATCTGTGTCCTGACCATTACAGGTATTTGTAGTGTCTGAAGGATGACAGGATTTGAGAAGCACATGGGTGGCATCCTCAAGCTTGTGTACTGTGAGGCTCTCTGCAGGGAAGCAGTTACTCCCTCCAATGCCACTGTCTGTGTTGATGTCAGCACCAGGTGCCACCATCGCTCACTTTGTTACAGAGAAGGCAGTGTCCCTGTTTCACATTGTGAAATAATGTCAGGCTTGCTTGCCTCTATTCTCCTATCTGATATCCAGTTGGATCCCAAATGTCATTTGAATGGGTGGCTGAAGCACCAGCTGAAGATGATTGTGTGTCTCAGAGCTCCTTGAGCACTATCAGAGTCTTGGTTTTAGTCCATTCGACTACCAAGATAATACATTTGTTCAGATTTGCTCCGTCAAGTGATGCAGTCTCTGGGTTTGGATGCCATGAGTAGTCTGAATTTTTCTTTACACAGAACTCAAAGTGCTTTTGTTCTTTACTGTGCTGTAAGACACAGCTTGGCAATGCTTCCAGCCTTGCCATGAGCTGGAAGATGCATTTCTGTGCTGAGAAATTTGTTTAAGGTGCCACTTGTTCAACTTTATCTTTGGGAACTGCATGTTTCATGTCAGGCAGTCATTTTGCAGTGATGACACACACTTCCTTAGTCAAGGAAGTAACCATGGAAAGTGCATCAGCAGGGAAGAGGCTGATGGAGGAACTGCTGCTTGTGCTCCTTCTCACTCACAAAGCTGATCAGAGTGTATCTGGTAGATAGAGATCTTGATAGAATCAGCTCTCCCCAGCTTGTTGGAGCTTTGAGTGTTCTACAGTGAGAACAGGGTTCTCCCTTTACTAGTAAGACTCACATCTGCAGGTTACCAGCTTGGTTCCAGTGCAGAGTGAGATCTGCTCGATCTCTTGTGTTGTAAAAGGGCTGTCTGCTGCTTTTCTGGCTCAAATCATTCTTCCATGACTTTACCCCAGCAGCGCTGATCCTTGTCTGTCTTTCCATGACTCTGTTTGGTGACAGGAGATGAGCCTGGGCTCAGTCCTCTCTTCTTCCTCTGGCAGTGCTCCTGAGGTCCAGCTACTCATCCAGCACTTCAAAGGTGATGCCAGTCCATTTGAGAGAGTACTTCCTACCTCTATTTTCATTCAAGGACTCTTCCAGGATTCTGCACCTGAGAGGACCTGGAAGAGTAGGATACTCACCACTGTTGTAGGCCATGGGCTGAACAGCCACAGGAAAGCAAAGGACAAAGAAAATAGCTACAGAATATTGTAAAGGACGCTGCCTGGCCTTGAGTGGCAAGGCCGAAGGCATCTGAGACTGGAAGGCTTGTGGTAACATCTTAGCCACGAGTTTCTGGTACTGTGCTTTCCTTTATGAAGGGAGAGAGGTCTGTAGAAAGAAGAACTGATATGAACAAATAAGCTGATAGGAAGGAAAATTGCTGAAAAAGTCTGGAGTACAGATGCAGTACACAAGCTGTCACAACTGTCACAGTTCCTGGGCTCTGAATTGGTGATTTCCAGCATAAATGCCTTTTTATTAGCAACTATGCTTTTGATCCTTAATTCATATCTCTTTTCCAAGATGAAAACCACTGCTTTTGAGATTGTGAGTACTGCAGAAAGGCAAGTGGCTCTCCTGCTGCATTTGGAATGGGATGTTGGGATAATCCTGTGTGAGATTATACAGGTTCTGCTGTCCTTGCTGAGGTTGTCTTGCATTCCCTCCATGCTAGATGTGAGGCTGCAGAGCAGAAGCAGAAGGTACCACTGGGAACTCTAAAAAAAGACTTGAAATCAAATGAGGAAAAGCAGAAACAACTGACAGAGAAAATCCGCCAGCAGCAGAAAAAGCTGGAAGCTCTGCAGGTGAGTCTGGAGGTCTCCAGCTAAGCAGAGTAGGTGTGATGGACTTCTATGTGCAAAGGGCTGCTGCTGAGTCTGAAACCATCTATGCTCCTTTATGGGGCTGGGGCTGTTGTAATAACAGAAATTTACCATCTCAGCTGGCATTTAATTTTCTGTTGGGAAAATGGAAATGACAGCTGAAGGGATGTCTTTTGAAGGACACAAAACACACCATATAATTGTTGGGTTTAGCCTGGAAAACTGCTGGGATGGGTTCAGGCAGCCCCTGGCAGCTTGTAAACATGAACTTTCTGATTTGTTTTTTTTTTTTTCTTGTTGTTGTTTTGTTTGGGGGGGTTTTTTGTTTGTTTGGTTGGTTTTTTGCTTTTGTTTTTTGTAGAAAACCACTCCAATTCTATCTCAAGCTGACTTAACGAGACTGCCTCTGGAAGTGACTACACGGCCTTCAAGGGAGGTAAATGGGATCCTGCTGTATGCTTTTTACTCTTTTGTGCTTCCTTAGCACACTGTTCACTGAACAGCAGTTCCCCACTCTTGTACACTTCCTCTCTCTCTACCCTCCTTTGTTTCAGCACACCCGAACTCAGCGCCCACGATCTCCTCCTTTGCCTGATGTAATCAAGAATGCTCCCAGCAGGCCACCAGGATCTTCACCTCCTCACAAGTCTTGCACTCACCTGAAAAAGAGCTCTTTAAATCGTCCAAATACCAGCTCCCCAAAGCTAGCCAGCATGCTCTTCAAGGAGGAGGCCAGCACTTCCAGGACACACCATCACACTGTGAAAACTGGGAAGTCCAACAGCACTTTAAAAACTCTTGCCAAACCAAGTACAAGCATGAAGTCGCTCTCTGGCCAACAGAGCCCCAAAAGCTCACGTGAGACACCCAATCCAAAAGCAGCCAAGGTGCCAGCAGTAAGGAAATCTGCCTCTGGCAGATGTTTACAGGTAAGAATCAATGGGATGAAACCCCTCAGCTCTTCACCCACTGTCCTGTAAGCCTGTCTGTTCTGTATTGTGATATGTGCACTGTGGGCACTGAACAGGACAAAAGAGCTTCTACTTTACTCTTGGGTTAGGGTGCCATTTACACCCCTTGAGAAGACTGGTCTCATCTCTTTCCTCTTAGACCAGATTGTTTCTTCAGGGAAAAAAAAGTCCGTGGAGTGGTGGCATGAGTGAGTGTTTGCATGATGATGTAGCACCTCTAAAACCTTCAAGAAAAGCTCACTAACTACCACTGGATGTTGTTTTTTTTTGAGGGGGGGGGGTATTTTTTTTTAATTTGGCTGCAAGAAGGTTTTGGTTGGAAGCAGGCTGGAATTAATACCTAGAGCTTGTTTGCTTCCTTCAGGCCTCCAGCACTCGAAAGAGGGCCTTGAACATCCCAGAGGATGGCTCTGAGGAGGAGGGTGAGCCCAAAAAGGAGAGGACAAAACGAGGAAAATTTTTGGCAGTGAAAGAAGAGAAGGATTCCAATGAGGTGGTGGTAGAGGTAAGAGTGTGCTCGTTTCCCCAGCAAAAGGTATTTGTCAGGTGTTTATAATCTTGATGGGAGGTGACTAATGTGAGCTCTCTCTGCTCCCAGCTCACAGACAGTGCTGGAGAGGAAGAGTTGTTGGAACTGAAGAAAGCACAGAAAGGTAAGAAATGAGCCCTTGGGCTGCCGCCAGTATCTGATGTAGAAAAGAACTGTAGTACCAGTTAAGCGTGTGATTTCATTAATGAGATTTTAAATTAAAAAATAGTGTAGATTTGAATTCCAAACCCCAAGATTACTCTGACTTGCATGAAAAATTTTGGCTGAGAACCCTTTGGTTAGACCAGTGGCAATTGTGACGTGGAAAGGTCTGTGATTGATGGTTGTGTCATGTTGTCAGGGGTGAGGCTGGGCTGCAGAGTGTACCTGTTGGCATGTTCACCCATCCTGAATGGATCATGCAGCCATGTCAGCTGGAAAATGCTCAGGACTGTATCCAGATCTGCTGCACTGCTGTGAGAGAAGAGTGACTGGGAGACCCCAGGAAAGGTGATAGCTGGGGTGGTACTGCACCATCTGCCAGAGCAGGGCATCTTTTCAGCATGCTTCCAGGGAGCTGTCTGGAAAGTGGCCCACTAGGGATATGTGGCAAATTTTCCTAGAGCCCATCATGAGACTGTAAAGCCAATGTCAAACTGCTTGGAGTACAGGAGAAATCTCCCATCTGAAATTGCCAGCTCATTTCCATGCATCTTCATGTTTCTCAGCAGGAGCTGACTTGTGTGCCCATTGTGTTTTGATGGTGTGCGTACTGTTTGAGGGCATTGTCACAGGTGTGCTCTGTGCTGAGGTGCCTGAATCTCTAGAGTTCTGTGGAATGTGCTTTTCAGCCGCTGAATGTTTACAAACACCTTTGCTTCCCTCTCACAGATAAGGGGCTGCACGTGGAAGTGCGTGTGAACAAGGAATGGTTCACAGGCCGTGTCACAGCTGTGGAAAGGGTCAGGCATGCAATCCGGTGGAAGGTGAAGTTTGATTATGTCCCTACAGACACCACACCAAGGGATCGCTGGTAACTATCTTGAGCTACTGAATTTTGGAGGCTTGGGTTTTTTTTGGGAGGAAGGTTTTATTGCCATAAATACTGAAGACAAATATGCTGCTGTCATGTCAGGAAACATGTGAGGTCAGGAGTGTCCAGGGCTTCATAAGGAATGGGCATGACAGACTCCATCAGTCTGTCACTCTGATGCCAGCCCTGGAGGCAGCTGTTGTGTGTCTAGAGGTCTGTGTGACACTTGGGTACAGGTTCTGATGAAACTGTTAACCGTGTTTCAGGTATGTCCAATGTAAAAAAAAGATCCCTGACATTCCCTTAATACTTTTTCTCAGGGTAGAGAAGGGCAGTGAGGATGTAAGGCTTATGAAGCCTCCCTCTCCTGACTACCAGGCTCCAGACACACAGCAGGAAGAGGAGGTGGTCATGGCTGAACCTTCTACCTCAGATTGCGTCAGAATCGAGCCTGACACCACTGGTCCCAGCAGCAGCCAAGAAACAGTTGACTTACTGGTCCAGATCCTTCGGTGGGTTCACTGCAAATCTTATGAGTTCTGCAGTCTGATTACTTCAGTCTGTTAAACTCTCAGCTCTGGCTTTGCTTTTTGTTTTCCTGCATAGGAATTGTTTGCGATACTTCTTGCCTCCAAGTTTTCCAATCTCCAAGAATGAGCTGAGTTCCATGAGCTCAGAAGGGTTGTTGGCATTTCCCTTGGTGAGTTCAGTACTTCTAGAAAAGTAAGTTTATGTGTTTTCCCCACACATATTCCATTCTTGTGGCAAATGTGCGTCTTGATAATGCAGGAGCGCACTCTTGGAAAAATAATTTGGACCCTTGGCAGACTAACATAGCTGAGGAAAAGAATGAGAGCTCTGAGAGATGCCTTGAGTCTTGTAAGAGTTGTCTGAGGATTTTTCTAATTACCATGCATGTGTGTGGGAATGCTGTTGTCTGCTACTATCTTAAATTCTTAACCATTGTTGTTAAACTTCTAAAAAATAGAGACCAGGTTACAGGACTGTAGAAGCAGGAGGTAGACATATCTGCTTGTTTTGCTTTCAGCCTTATAACTTATCTGGAGACAATCTTATAAATAATAACAAATAATTATCCCCAAATTCACAGAATATTCTGAGTTGTAAGGAAGCCACAAGGATCACTGAGTCCAACTCCTAGGTAAATGGCCCATACAGGGTTTGAAGCCACAACGTTAGTGTGGATTCAATCCCTTTATAGGCCATTTACTTCAGTGTGAGAGAACATGGAAGTAAACCCCTTCCCACTTCCCCTGGAGAGCAGGTTGACTGCCAGCAAGTCAGCTGCACACATTAAGACTTTTGACCTCTGTTTATCTGAACACAGGACAGGTGGGACTGAGCTTCCACCAGCAGCCGGGTACTAGGAAGAATGTTACCTGGTACTAGTGCTGGCTGGAATGCAGGGCAAGAGAACTGGCCTCTCTTACTTTTTCCTTCTCCAACATACCACCAAGAGAGACCTTTCCAAGGAGGCACATGTAAAAAGCCACCTGCAGATGAGCACATGACCAAAGATAGTTCTGTTTTGCATTCCCAGACTTGCAGTGTGTGTATTGACAGTCTCTCTCTTGTCTCCTCCCCTGCTGTTAACTCTGGTATCTGCTGGCATTTGCTGGAGTTACTGTTCCTGCTTCTTCCATGGGACACATTGGTTGTGGCTGGGGCTTTTGGTTACTGTAGCTGTCCCTACCTTGCAGTGAGAAGGTGTGATGTCTGGGTGATCTGTACCAAGGATACTCACAGTTTACAGGGTGAAACAGGCCTGCAGCATACCTGTGGGTTCATGCTTTTTAAAGTACCCATTGCACCCTTAATCTAAATTCAAGCAGCTTTGGGGGCAGTTCTGGTATTGGAAGAAATTGAAAACTGTGTGAATTCTGTGCTGGCTGGTGTAGGCAAATCAGATGTAAATATAAGTGTGAGCAGAGTGTGCAGGGGCACACTGCAGGGTGGATTTGATCATGGGGGCCAGGAGTTTGGATCTTCTACAGCGTGAGTGCTCATGTTTTTGTGATGCTTGGTGCTTTCTCTTAACATGACATCTGTTGTGTTTTGTCTGCTACAGAAGGAATATTTTAAGCAGTATGAGGTGGGTCTGCAGAACCTGTGCAATTCATATCAGACACGTGCCGATGCCCGGGCCAAAGCCTGTGAGGAAAACCTCCAGAACTTAGAAAGGAAGCTGAGGGAAACAGAGGAGAAACTGCAGAAGTTGAGGACCAATATCATGGCCCTTCTACAGAAAGTGCAGGAGGTGGGTGAGGAATAGTAGCAAATCCTGAGCTGTCTCAGAATAGCCAACTGGCTCATCCCCTTCTGGCATTACAAGTGTTTCACTCCAGTGTCTCACTGGGCTCCAACTTCCTCAGTTGGGAACAGCTTGGGCTGTCACTGCCCACACTTGGGATCCAGGCCGTGGGAGTCTGATGTGTGTTATTTCTCAGAACGATTTCTCATGGTGTATTTCTCATGTAATGCACAGGTTCTGTTCTCTGCCGTGAGGCTGCTTGAGAATTTCCCCAAGCACAGGCATAGACAGTGCTCATCAGGGAATTTTTGCCACAATCTTGGGCAGATCCTGAACTCCACATACAGAAATGCAAACCTTTAAACAAACAATATAGAAAAAGTATTGTGGAAAAATTGATACATTAGTTATACATTATATATTAAAATAGAAAATATATAATTAAAACATTTAAATAAATAAACTAACTTTAAACTAAAAAACTACTTCAATAAAATCAGGATCAACCTGGAAAGGCTACTGAAAGCATCTGGAAGCATTTTCTCCCTGTAAGGAAAACGTGTTAAATCTAAAAGAGCCCCAACCAAACCTGCCTCAACGAAAATCAGTACAGTAGTCCATCACTTGAGTGTGTTGTTTGAGCATCAGGTGTTGATGCGTTTCCTGTCTTTTGGATGCTGACAGGGAAAGCTAGGGATGCTGTCATGGCAAGCTGTCAGCAGCTGGAGGGTGCTGGAGGTTGAGGCAGAGAGGTTGAGCAGGCCAGATGTAACAGAGGGTGCTAAGCTGCTCTGACTCTTCTTTTCTTGTGCTGTTCCTCAGTATTCACTTCTCACTGGTATTCCTTGTTGCTTTGGTTTCAGGACATTGATATTAATACAGATGATGAACTGGATGCATATATTGAGGACTTGATCATGAAAGGAGATTGAGCAGCTGCAGTACAAGTCCTGGAGAAGTGCAGAAGAGCTGGCTGCTGCAAAGGGAGATGTGGATCTCTGTGCGGGTGGACTGAGGCAGCTGATGAGGAGAGAGTTTTTTAGACAGTGCTCGTGTTGGTGTACAACTTGGTCCTGTGACTGTACAACATTTGTACTGTTGGCAGGAAAATTTTTAACTTTGTAGCTATCTGAATCTCTTCCTTTTGTTTATAAATATTTATTTTTAAAAGAAATGGGAACTGTGCCTGATACAATAGGTGTTTTTAGTGATGTAGAAGTGTGAGTACCCATTTTGCAATTCAAGTATATTCATATGCTAAACCTGGGAGCTTGGAGCACCCTGCTTAGCTTACTGGTTCTCCAGCAAAAACCTAGCAGCAATTAAAAAATAAGCCTTGAGTTGTGGTAGAGGGTGTCAGGCTTTTTTTGTGGAAGATACTGAACTTGAGGCAGAGAAAGCAAAGCCATGAATTGGAGCTATAGAAAGGAGATGTCCTTGTATGAGTGTGAGTAGAGGGGATGGAACCTTGGTGGAACTCGGAAATTTGGCACTGGCACCTGTAATGAGCTTCCTGAACAGGAGGTTGCTGCAAGTGGGTGAAACTGCCACCATGGTACTAGCTAAGAGGCTCAGGGTCCTTCTAGAAGAGGATCACCTCCTGGACTGCTCACAGTGGGCTGTGAGCATTAGAGGAAGAATGCTGGCGTTCAGAATCTCTGCTTGCAGTCACTTTATCACTCACTTCTGCTGCTGTTTCTTTGAGACATAATTACAGCATCAGAGGAACTCCTCGTCCACCTGACAATAAAGTGACCTGTGTTCTATTTTCACCCCTTCAGGTTTGTGTTGCTTTGATCAGTTTGCTCTACCAGGTAATTTTATTATTAGAGATTTCTAATTATTAGAGAGAGGCTATTTGGGGCCTTTGGAGCCCTACACTGCTGATTGGCATCTGGCACTGTGCCCACAGCAAGGAAAACACCTGTCCCTTATCCTTCAGCAGCCAACTCCTGGTAGGCAACTTGTGGCAAGGGAACTCGGTCAGAGTTTGTCAGCTGGCCAGCAGCTTCTCAGGCCTGCTAGGACAAAGCGTCTGTGGACTCTTGTTTGGAAACTGGAGTCCCCTGTAAGCTAGATGGTTGTAAACAAGCAAGAGGTACCCACTAACAGAAAGTCAGGTGGAATGGACCCTGGGGGTTGACACCTGGATGTGTAATAGATATTTTGCAGCAAACCCTTCCAAATTAAATATCTGTTGCACCAAAAATTTTGGCACTAATTGTTTATACTCCTGAAGAACTCCCAAGTTTCTACACACCACAGAAGAGGGGAAAGGCTTTTGCTTATTGCTTGAATTCCAGGTGCTTGTCACAGCACATGGTGAGACTGACCAGAATCTGGGCCAGATACCCCACAATAAATAAAGTTGAGGAGTATTCCCCTATCCTCATAAACCTTCCTGCACAAGGGGGCAAGTGCGTTTCTTAAGCAAAGGAACAGGCTCCACCAGTCTCCATTTCCTCACACATACTGGAGGTTTATTAGTTGTGATGACACACTGCAGTTTCTGATGACAATAATCCGGAGAAGATGCATTTTTTATTAAGGTGAAAGAAGTCTTTGTCCTTCCCAGGAGACAACAGACATTCTAAAGAAGTATCTTCACAGAGGCGTATACAGTTTCCTTACCAGTTTAACGAGACAAATTCTGGGAGAAAAATGCTCTAAAATTACTGTTTTTCTCTAAAGAGAGAGGGCTTCAATTGACACGTGGAGAGAGACTCTAAAACTCATAATGGCTTTTAAAGTAGGTATGTTTTTATTTGCCCAGATGCATGGCGATATCTCCACAAAGACATGTGTATCCCTGGTACAGAGGCAGTTTTATCACCTAGAATGTTACATATGCATCAAGTTTCACAATAGATAATTTCCTGGCTTCCCTCCCTCTCCACTTTGTATGATAATAATTTTATCAGTCCTTTGGGCCTGCACGGTTGTCTTTGGTGGTCATCTGGAGGGTCTCAGGGATTGCAGGGGATGAAGTCTTCCTTAGGACTGACCTTTTAACCCTGCTGCCTTGCACGTGCTTACTGATCTTTTGGCCACTGTCCAAGCTAGGAAACCAGATTCATTTGGTTTCAGGGGCCCAAGGAGCCTTGTTATCTCAGTATCCTTGTATACTGTATTCTCTTCTTGATAAACATCTTTCTCCTTATCAGGCATCCTTGCATTCTTTCTTGCTGTTTTGCACGTATTCCTTTCCTGTATTCTTTTCCTTCCTCACACAACTAAGGATGCAGCAAATGTTAAGCAATGTCCATCATCTATGTGCCTATTCTTAATACCTTCTAATTTCTGTGATTAGTGTATATCCTCTAGTTTCTGATCCCATGTTTCAGTCCCCCCCTTTTTAAATAAAGTAGTAAATTCTTCTACTTAGTAAAAATTCCAATCCTTATGGTATGTGTCTTCTAATGCTTTACCATGTACTCGGGATAAAGAGGTTAATATTGCTACTCCTTTTAACAGTCTCCAATTCCAAATAAGTATTTCAAAAGATAGTGTTAAACTTATACCAACTAATACTAGTAAAACAATGATGGGGTGACATAATGTATTTAGGATTCCAGTTGCAGTGGGCAACCATCCGAAAAGTGAATTCCACTAATTGTGACTTGCATCTTGTTTTACTCTTTGGAGAACCTTGCTTATTTCCTTTGCATCACGATGGACAGTAATGAAAGTTTCCTCTCCAGATTTCTGAATATCCTTTAGAATTTTGACAAGGTCCTGATGCTTAATTAATTGTTTGATTAGAATGAGGTTTGTTCCAATAGGTGGGGACAACATGTGATACATCTTATTGTCAGACTTAATTAGCTGGTGAGATAGAGAAAGTCACACCCTAAAATTTTAACAAAGTTACAAAACAAAGGTTTAAATGACTCTCACTGAGAAGTTCATTGTTCTTGTCTATTTTTATAAAAGTACATGCAGTTCTCAAATACATACAACCTTGACAAATATATATACAAGCACAGTCCTTTGACTAGTATTCGGATGAATTTCAAAGAGACAAACACCCTGTTCAGCATCAAGACGTATATCTTGAGCATCGATTGTGTTACTCTCACAAATGAACCCCTGTTGTTCCCAGGTAATGCAAGATTCTAGATTCACAGTTTGCCATTTTTCATTTACTCTTTGTGCCAATGTCCTGTGTTCTGAAGGGTAGAGCACTGATTTAGTCCTAATGCTATAATAGGATGAATAACGTAAACTATGGTGTTGCATACGGTGAGCACAAAAGCATTAGCTACATTATCACTTAAGTCATAGGTGAAGTTTACTTAAAGTCCACCAAGACTGAAATTTCTTTTCAAAATCCATAGCATTGTCCCAAACGGCTTTTCGAGTCTCAATTGGTAAAGCTCCTTCACTTCCTTCTCTCATAATTGAAGCAGTTGTTGATTGCAACCATAATTGTGCTCGTATACAACTAAAAGCCAGAGACACATTATCTTGAGCCATAGCAAGTGCATCTATAATTAATCCATGGTCTTGGTCTTCTGCTTTTTTCACACTTGGTAATATTTTCGAAACCTGCCACTGACTGGTTCCCAATGTTAACAAGATGACTGTAAGGGTTGTTTTAATTTTGTTAGATCACTTGTCGCAGTGGCCAATTTATTCACTAATATTTCTGAATCAATTCCATTCAGAACTCCCAGCCCTGTCCCTAATATTCCAGTCAGATCTCTTCACATTCCACCTCTGGTATATGTCTGCTTTTGCAACCGTGTCAGCCAACCCTCAAAGGATGTCTTTAGGAAAGAAGAGC